AGCACTTATTAGATCCACTTATAACTTAACATTTGTGAAGGGTGATTTTGTAATGTAACTTCCAGGGGAAATCAACAAGATTAAAGTGCTATCTTGGAGACATTTTATTTTACTCTCTGCTTGGAATGACCTTGGGTTGATTTTTTAGGTGTTGTTTTTCACCACTCTGAGAATAAAGAGATTATATTTCACTCTCACCTAGCCACTCTTGAGTTATCAAGTCTCTCATACCATCCAAAATAAAAATCATAACCCTTTGCAGTCCACTTTGTGTGTTTTATGAATTCTGCCTGAGAAGCAACATCTCATTTACAAGTGGGACCAGGAGCTTTAGTAATCTCTCTCTCAGCCAAGTGTATCTAATAACACATGAATAACATCAATTGTAAACCCAAGAAAAATAGATGAGTTAATTAATCTTAGAAATGTTGAGGGTGTGACTGCAGTGCTGTGAAGCTCTGTGAATACTGCCCTGAGATTGGCAGTACTGGCACAAAGACCATTTCCCATCAGAGCTGTGCAGGCACAGAGGTTTCTGAGATAGTGTCACCAGGTGATGCTCTGTGCCTGGTCTCCAGCTTAGCTAAGCACCTTCATCTAAGCACTGCATGTTCTTCATGGCTTTAAGGTGAAGGAGGGCAGGTTTAGATTGGATATTAGGAAAATGTTCTTTACTGTGAGGTGATGAGATGCTGGAAAGATTGTTGTTCAGAGTAGTTATTAATGACCCCTCCCTGGAAGTGTTCTATGAAATTATTTGAGCTCAATGTGGATGGCTTATCAGTTCACATCGTTAAGGGCTTTTTTCCCTGGAGTGGGTGCAGCATTCTTTAGGATTGTATTGATGCCTCCAGAGATGAATCCTCAATGTCCAGTGGGAGTTCAGTTTCCTGAGGGTGGCTGAGGAAGCATAGATTTTTCATGGCCATGCTTGGCTTCTCAGTGCATGTCTGCTGTGTGTTTAAATGAAGAGTCTCTACATTGTTTTCATTCCCTACTCTGACTAAAGGAGATTTCTTCCTTCAGGGTCAGTAAGGTGTGCTGAGGAGTATCTTGATTTCTGACCTTATGGAGGATTATAGAATTAAAAAATAGTGTCTCATCTCTCTCACCACTTACTGCAGAAATCTCCTATAGCAAGTCAGATGTTGTGAGTGTAAAAATTTATTAATCATAGGCATTTTTACTTTTTATTTTTTCCTTTATAATACTAGGGAAATAGAAAGGGAAATAAAAGCTACAATTAAAATTAAGATCAGTTGCTGGAGTTGAAAGAGACAGCACAATTGTAATATGTTAGAAAATTGCCTTGTTTTAGAGAAAGTGCTGATTAAGATCAAATTTGTCTTGAGTTTAAATTTTGATTGGACCTAAACTGAGGGGAGGGGGGTTATATTTCAGACACAGTGCAAATGATGCATGTTAATATCCTCTGTTTATTGCCACTTGAAATTGCAGCATAGCTTTGAATTGCTGCCAAATCTGCAGTTAAGACTCCGGAGTAATCACTATGATTATTCCAAATCTTCATGGTAACAGTGAAAGAAAAAGTCTGATACGCAAAGAACTGTAGCCTAAGCCATCAGAATCTTTTCATTCTTTGGGGCTCAGATTGTGATTCCACTCATAGTAGGAATGGTTAGACATGCATATTGGCCAATCATTCTTGAAAGAGAGATTAAACAAATGGATTTAATTATGTTATTTTCAGATTTATTTGGTTTTTCTGTTAACTCCTGCCTCACTGACTTTTCCTGTAATGAAGAAAAGCATGGCTTTTATTTAGTTTTGGAATGGTTTAGTTCCTATATTGGCATGGTGTGGTATTTTCCTTTTTTATTGGATTTTTTTCCTTTTCCCTTTGTTCGTCTATAACAGATATTATTTTTACTCTTTTTCTTTACAATCCATAGGGCTGCTTATCTTCTTGAAATATTTTTTTTTTACTTCTGTGTAGCTACTGACAGTCATAGACTTACGTAAGACCTGACTGTATACATGTGTTACTGTGGTTTATTTAGTTGGTTGGAGATAAAGTACTGATGTCTGAGATAAACAACATAATATAAAGTGACAATCTAAAAAAAAAATTAGAAGAGTCTCACAGGAGTGAGAAATTATATGCAAAATGTTTATAAGGAGCTCAAATTTATCTGTGCTTAAATTTTGTTCTGGTTTTTAAATACAGACTTATTGAAGGAAGAAGTTTATCTTGAGTTAAAGCCAGCACTGCTAGTTGGCTCTCTAGATAGTATGTCCCAGTTGCATCCCTTCATCAGTTGCTTTCAGGAGGGTTTTGCTACTTGTTCTGCTTACAAAGTAAATAAAACTTGTTATGGAAGTCATCTAATGTGGATACAATATTTACTTTGGAGCGTTTTCCTAAATAACTAGTATTAGCCAGCAGGCAAGTGTGAGCACCCGGTGTGTTAGCTGTGGGAGGAAATCTTTATGTGTGACACATAATGATCAGTTTAAACTATTGAAATATAAATTACAACACTGAGTGAAATTCAAAAATATTTATTTATATGAATTATGATGTGTGTGTGAATAAAAGAATAGTTAGCAACCTTGCCATATATCCTTGTAAGTCTACAGTCTTTAGGCTACTTTTTGAAATAGTTTTAACGCCAAAAGATGCGTAATATTTTTGAAGGACAGCATTAGCAAATATCACAGTGTGTTTGCATTACATTATAACAAGCATTTTTCTTATGATTTCAGTGCTGTTGTATCCACATTATGAAACTTAGCTATACCTATATTTAAGCCTCATTAACAGTGAAAGCCACTCCCAATTTTATAAATCTCATGTCTTTATTATTTTGAAGCCATAATTTTGATATTTTTTGAAGTGTAAGATTTATAGGGTCAGAAAAAAAAAAAAAAAAAAAAAAAGAGGGGGGAAGACAGCATTGCTGTAGTCCAGAGATTACTGTTCTGTACAAGTGCAGTTCATGCCTTTTCTGGGAATCAGGTCCTTCTCTCTATGTTCTGGTCATGAACACTAGGAGTGAGCCCTATATACCTCTCTTGGCAAGAAAATAGTTTGAATTTATTTATTTCCAATAATTTATTTCCAAAATAGATATTTTAAGCCTAAGTCACAGACAGGAGTCTGGCAAGAAAGTATAAATGTTTGTGCCTGGCATAAACACTTCACTCCCCCTTGAGATGCAGGCACAGGGGCAGGGCAGCGCATGGCAGCCACATTCAATTTCAGGTTCATGCCTTGCCTGCTGCAGAAAACCTAATAAATGAGAGTGTTACAAGAATCTTTGAATTCTGTATCTATGCCACCAGCAGCTACTGGTGGAGTGTAGATAGCAATGAATTAAACAGACTCTGTTTGAAGAGACAAAAAGCCCAAGAGACAGAAAGCCATTGGATACAGTAGAAATAAGAGCAGGCATTTGTGAAGGTGTCATTTACAGAGGCTTTCCAGTAATAAATGTAATTTTCTTTCTCTTTGGTAAATTATATCATTAAAAAATAGAAGATTATAACAATGTAATGGGCTTTTATTTTGCTCTTCTTACTGACCTAGTCACGCAGCTAATGGAATAGATTTGCCTTAATATATGCTTTAGTGTGGGATTTCAGCACTGGACCATGAACCCTGAAGCATTTGCGTTGTCTCTCTTGTTCAGTAATGTTCTTCAATAAGTTCCCCATTTGAGGTATATGAAAGTCCTTGAAATTAGTGCCACTTTGTATGTGCTTCAAGGAAAAGTGTACATGCTTAAGTTACTTGTCAAATTGGAGCATCTATAAATATTAAATTTATAGTTTTCCCCCCAAGACCAATTTCAGTAAAAGCTCAGCCCAGCTGTCATATCTGTATAATTCATTCGAAGTTTTGAAATTTTAACTTTAGCTTTGCTCTAATGAAGTGACTGCATAAAAACTGTACTGTTTTGTTAATCTCTTTCCTTTTTTGTATTCACATTCTTGTAATTCTGTTTGTATAACTCATTGTCATTTATCTCTGTAAGCAATTTACAGTCACTGTTGTCAGAGTGATCAGTATTCTGGGGTATTTTCTGCACCATTTGCTGAATACGCTAAATATATTTTGAATTAAGGATTTTTTTTTAAATTGTATTTGAAGCGTGAGCTAGAGAGAGCCCAGCTGGACTTTGAAAATCCAGTTTGTTTGCAAGCTATCGGTTGATAATGGCAGATTTTTGAATGCCAACTGGACCCTTTTGATCTGGAAAAAAAATCAAAATGGATCCTAACATTGGCAGTTTTAGAACCATGATGTTATAGCAAAAGGTGAAGAAGTGGAAATGAGTGAAATTCTAAATAAATTATATGGGGAGAATTTCTTTGCTGTTCAAAGCTTAACATAAAGGTCACATAAGAAAACAGCTCAAGATATTATCTTGAGACAGGGCATTGTTTGGACCTGAGAAGGAAATGCAAATAATTTGTTGGCATATTCTTCTGCATCAAAGTGAATTGCCTTTTTTTTCAAAATATGTCAGCAAGAGGAGAATGGTGAAACAATGGAGAGATTTTATAAAGAAGTTCTTTCTCTTCTGTCATTCTTCTGCTATGGCAATGATTATTTTTACATTTAGTAGCCTCACTAGATAAAGAGATGTATTTATATGGACATGTTTAAATAAGTCATTACTAGAAATATTTTTTTTCATTAGTCTGGAGATTTTGTCATGTTGTCTCATGAACCTTGTACAACCACCAAAACCCAAGGCAGTCATTCTGAGTAGAGATGAGAAGCATAATCAGTTTGTTGTGGGTTGCAAGAGAAGTTATAGGATTCAACATTCATAGATTTGGTCAGGGAGGATTAATAAAATCTTGCAATCCATATCTCTTAGGGGATTGAGTTTCTTGTCTGCAGAATTTTGATATATAAGGTAAGATGTGTACAAAATCTGACATTTACAAAAAAAAAAAAAAAAAAGGCCCTGTTTTCTGTTATAGAGAAATCAGGCTGCTGAAGGTATGTTGTTGTTTTTGTCTTTTAGATAATTCTTGTAAGTTCTTCCCATAATGACCGTGACCAAAGCCTTTTCATAAGCACAGATGAAGGAGCCACTTTCCAGAAACAACCCATTGCTTTCTTTGTGGAAACCCTCCTTTTTCACCCAAAAGAAGAAGATAAAGTACTTGCTTATACCAAGGAAGGCAAGGTAAGGCTTGAAGACACTGCATTTCTTTGAAATTTAAGAATTACTCTATTAAGATTATATAAAACAATTCTGACATGCTGATTAGTGTTGGGTTTTATGAATAAACAATTGCCCAGAAGGGGACCATATGGTAGTTTTGAGATTTATTTAAATACTTATTTTATTGATGTCCAAGTCTTGGTGGTTATGGTAGTTTCAATTCTGGCATTTTCAGTTGATAGGGATATTGAGAATATTTATCCTTCTGTATAATACAGTTAAATAATAATGAAACATGCTCCTCCCTAGAAAGTGACCACAAAAAATTTATAGTACCGTAGGAAGTTAATGAAGTTGAAATATTGCCTCCAAAGTCTGTTCACAGGGTATAAAATAAACTCGTACAAAACAAACTGCACACTCATATAGCAGAATAGGATTTGTGGAATCACTGACTCTGTAGAAATGTACAATAATTATCTCTCTTATAGTGGCTTTATACCACTTTCAGATTCAGGAGCTGTTCATGTTTGTAAATTTTTACCTGCTTTCAGATTTCTTGTGGTTAAAATGTGAAGTCAATTTTCTGGGTGGGTTGGGCTAAGCACTGATGAGTGTGCTCACCATCTCTAAGTGTGTAGCTCATCTCTTTTTCACAGTGCCAAAACTGCAGCTGCAAAATCACTTCATTCTGGTCCTGGTAGCAGCCTCAACTCACCTCTACCATTACTCCCATTTTAAACTTACATTGGTAAACTCCAGTCCATTTTATCCTCATCATACCTCACAGAAAGTGTATATTTAGGTGGTCAGATTAGTCAGAGAAGTTGTACATAATGCAGCCAAATCCTGCACTGATTCCAGTGATGCTGTATCAAGTCACCCTTTTGGATATGTTTTTGAATATGTAAGTTAACCGCTGATCCTAAACCAATTCATGTTTACAGGCATTTGCAAATAAAGATAGAGCTAGAATAAAAAACATAGCAAACCAAACTAGGACATAAATGACACTAAATATTTTAATTAGCTTTAGTTTGAAATCCTAACCCAATTGCAAATAATTTGAATGCATGTTATGTAAATAAAATACATCAAGGAAGCCCAAAGTAATGAAAAGCCTTTGTTATGAAAATTTCTTCTTTTGGTCTAACTTTTGTTCCTGACAGTAGATATAATTACTGAATTACTGTATTTTTTATAGTTACAGAGTGGCAGAATCATGAAGTGTAAGAGTCTAAAGCGTACTAACAAGTTGTCCAACCCACAAGTGGTATTTGTGAGAAGAGAGCAATAGGTAGAAAAACAAAGTAAAGCAGTTGGTTTGTGTTTTGATGATTTAAGCATATTAGGAAGATTTTCAGGTATTTTATACTTGGATAATCTCCCAAAAGGAGTGATGCTACTATTTGCCATGCTTAAAATGTGACTGGACAAAAATAAAGGAACTATAAAAAAGTATTCAGTAAGGAATAGCTCTGCAGGAGTAGCTGGAAGGGTTAGGTAATCTGATGGACTTTTCTCAGGTTTTCAATGACATTAAAAAGAGTCAACCATAAAGACTGCCTTGACAAGTCCTACATCTTTACCTTAGATATATAGGAATGAAGGATGCCTTTGACTATAACTGGGTCAGTAACCTGCTTATGTTTTGTATGAAATCTGATATATTTGGTCTAGAAGGGAGAGGAAGATAAAGTGATGTTTGCAGAGAAGGAGTTGAAACTCAGAATTGCAACTTGACACAAGAAAAGGTCACTGTACTAAAATCAATGATCTTGAGATAGTGTTCATCTGAAATTGCCTTGAGGAGTCAGTACACTCTAGGTTTTTGAGTTAAGTAACTTTACCTTCTCTAAAAAAAAAGTAGTATCAGAATGTAATACAATCTAAAACTCTAAAATGGAGAAACCATTAGCTTCTGTTACTCAAATAATTTCTTACAAAGGCACTTTTTAAGAGACTGCAAGGAATACAAGGAATCAGGTCTTTCATAAATAGCAGTCAGCAAGGCCTCTTTGTCTACTGGAGCATCTTGGCCTTTTTCACAACTTTTTATTTGATTTAAGGCTTATTTCATATTGCAAAATATGTGCTGTTTTTTCATTCAGAACCCTAGATTCTGTTTAAATAAATCTCTAGCCTCTAGCTGACACTATAAATGAATGCAAATCCAGTCAATGTGGTCGGATTAATCCATTTATTGCCTCAAATCTATACAATCATTTTCTGGCTACCCCTCTGTTATAATGAATAACAATCATCTATTTGCTGAGCCTACATAAATGCTTCTAGATTTTTTTTTTTTTAATTGTCAAGGATGCAGTAGATTTTAATTACAATAGATTTAAATTATTTTAGATAATAATTTTAGTTCATTTGGAAGCAGAAAGGATGAAATAAAGGGCAAACAGGAAATATTTTCGATATTTTTTAAAAAGCTTTTCCACACATTTATTGCACAAGTGAAAATAAGCAAAATTATAAGACCTATTAGATCTGTTTGCTTCAGCCAGAGATTTTAGCTGTCTACTAAAATAACTGTTTTCACATCTTATATAATCTCATTTAAGAGTTTTATCATATGTCCTGTTGAAAAACAAAATGCATATGGATCACTTGGGTTTTTTATTGCAGAAAGTTCAACGTGTATGTAAGTTAGTTACGTGTTATTTTTTTATCTAGTTAATATACTGTGCTACTTAATATTTCATTTGAATTTGAATCTGCCTTATTAGTCCTAGTTCACTCTCCCTAACAGTAAGATTGCAAGGACTATTTTCCTCTGCAAAAAGCCAAGCTGTTCACTCATAAGCTCCCAGACTTTGATCCTAAATTAGTATGTGAACAGGTAGTTTGGGTTTTGTGGAGAGGGGGTGGATTTGGTTTCGTCTTTGGCTTCTCTTGTACACGTGTCTTTGTTTAAAGGGTGACAATCTTACATTTTCTTCTGAAATTCATTGATGACAAAAATATATGCCTTTGTTCACATGCCAGTGTTGTCCCTTCTCCTAAACAGTTCTCTTCCCTCTTGCTGGGAACTTCTGAATTCTTGGCTTTCTTTGCAGCTTAGACAACAGAGTTAGGATAATGCATTAAATGATTGTCTCTCCCAGATTTAAGCAGTCTACTGAGGGAGGTTACTCAGTGACCAGGGACCTTTTAGAAAAATGGTAAACCCAGTGGTTATCTTTTCTGCAATGTCTGTGGTGACAGGTATTTGAAGAAGTAAGGAGCTTAGGTTCTTCACCCTGCAGAGTCCAGTCCATTCACAGCCACATCCATCCCCCCAGAGGAGGTTGCTCAGAGCAGGATGTTATAAAATACACTGGTTGCACCAAATCCTAAGCCGCTTAAAATTAATAGCAGAAATTTAACAGGCAAATCAAGAGTCTGGCTCTGCAACTCAGTCATTTAGCTCTGAGGATGAAGAATTTTTGATCCCAAATAATTTCTGTCTGTGCATTGACTGAGTCAATAAACAATCTGAGTCCCCGTTTGTAGTTTCCTACCCTGTAGTCTATCTAATTTAATCAGGTGTTTCCTTCAATGCAAGGAAACCCAGTTGTTGTGAAGTGCAAAGTAACTGGGAAATTCTCTCCTATCTGTAATTCAAACTTCAGTAAAATTACCCATAGAGTTTATGCTACGTTACCTCAACCTTTATCTTTACATATTAATATTGCTGTTTTTCGGTAGTAGAACAGAATACATAACTGGGTTTTTTTTATCTTTTGTCATTGAACCTGTCATTTTAAAACATAAACATTCCTGACTACTCCTTATAAGATGCTTTCCCCGGAACACTCAGTCACTGAATTGGTGACTTCTACATCAGAGAACAGTTTTATTTGCCTTTTTATCCCCCTTTTTAGATATCAAGAGGAAACCCATCTTATGTAAATTGGATCAAATAAGAAATGCATGCAGACAGCGGGGGGCTTTAAATCTGTCTTTTTAGAAGTCTGATAGAAACTTCCTATTTTAACTAGAGGAAACACATTTTGAAGGCAAATGCTAAAGGAAGGAGATTTGTTAAGAGCTATTTTAGATACCACATAATTCTGGGGGAGAACATCTTTCATCTGCACTTTTGATATCCATCCATATCATTAGCATTTGTTTCTTTTTACCAGAGGGGAACTGTTCGTAGAGAAGGTGGAACTGGAATCCTTCTCGTCCAGGGCATCTTCTGCCACTGTGCTGAAGGACCACTTCTCATGGGTTACAAAGCAGTGTCTGTGGAGCAAGCCCATAATTGCATCTCTCATTAAATCTCTTAAGCATTTCTGTAATATATTTTGGTCCTGTTTTAGCAGAGTTTTAAATCTATTGACTTCCTGGCTTAAGTATTTTTGATGGCATTAAGTCTTGAAGCATAAAGGAAACATTTGTCCATTTTTGGTCAATGAATGAGAAGAAGAAGTGCCCTTTTACCATCCCTCTTGTGTAACAATGCTGAGGTAAAAAAGAATCTGACCGCAAATTAATTGTGCTTTCACAGTAAAAAAAAAGTCATTGTTGCAGCATTTTATTTATTATAGATGATATTTTTAAATAATTTCTCTATGAAATGCTGTTACTCTGGAAAACAAGGTACTGAGCTCCTGGTAATGTGTTTTTTGGGTTTGTTTCTTTTTTTTTCTTTTAATTGGTATACAGTCTGTCTCTCTTACAGTGATATAGGGTCTGTCTTTGAAGATGTACAGTATTATCAGTTTCCTATAATCTAATTTCTCACCTTCTTTTCTCCTTTTCTAGATTTATGTATCTATTGACTTGGGAAAAAAATGGAACCTTCTGCAGGAACGAGTTTCTAAAGATCATTTTTTTTGGTAAGAAGTCTGTTATTTTTGAAATAATAAAATGAGCAGCTAAAGTATTTAATTCTAATCCAAGAAGATGTTTACAGAGGTAGGGATGGGGACTGTGTGAGCTTTGGTACCCTTTGCAGATGATAGCAATGTTTCTGTCTCCTCTATTGCAAAGTCATACTCATGCCAGGGATCTTACTGAGTATCAGCCCATGGAAGGGTTATAGGTCTGGATCTATGGAGCCCAAGATTTAAAGAAAGCTGTAATGTTGAATGAAATGGCTCTCTATTTTCCTGGTGAAATTGATCTTTAGAAAGGAGACGAGTGTTTTTGCAGAGAAAGATCAATACATTTTTTAAGAGGCTGGATCATGCCTACTTCCACTACTAAGGAAACTGGTGGAAAATATTACTTTATTGAGAACATATATATCTAATTATTTCATTTTCAGCTCAAGTATTTTGTAGGTATCTCACATTGTATATGTATCTCACTAAGTATTTAAGAAGTGTTTTAAACAGGTTGACAAAATGTTTGAAAAGCAAGTTATTGTCCTTATTTTAACAAATAAAATTATTTTGAAAACTGTACAGCTCATTTAAAACCAAAATTAAACTTTTGATAGTGTTTTGATTAATTTTGTTTTTTAAATTGGTGGTTTCACACTCCACCCTTTCACATTTAATTTCGGTGTGTATTCTTTATTACAAGTTTAAGTCATACTACACTAAACACTTGTGTTCCCTAAATGGCTTTTAACTTCTGAGCCTTGTCAGCTGTGTGAAGTATAATTTTCCATATGTCTATGGAAACATATCTGGCTTTCAGTGGTAATTTTGTGCTTTGCTGGGGGTGGTGCCAGTATTGCAGTAGATGCCTGATCTTGGTTTCGTCTGTGACCCTCCCAGTTTTTCACGTAGTTGTTTCACTCTTGTGTTGAAATAAATCCTCATCCTGGCCATATTCAGGGTAAAACAAAGCAACAAAACAAAACCTGCATAAACTGATTATGAAGCACAAAGCATAACTGGGTGAGTCCAAGGGTGTGCTGCACGTGTGCTGCTGCTGCTGAAGCTGGGTAGGGGGAAGGTTGTGACTGGGGCAGAGACACAGGGACAGTGCAAACCCTGTCTGAAAGAGCTGGGAGCACAAGATCTATGCTGCCCTGCTGCCCTGTTGGTCTCATTAGCCCTGGGCACATCACACAAGCTTTTTCACACTTCCAAGTGCCTCATTTTCAACCTACTTACTGCCCATAATTTTATACAAGTGGCCTATGGTTGGGTTGTAGAACATTCATCTGATTTATTCTAGCCTCAACTTTATCTGCTGACACAGTTGAGTTGGGCAGACACTTTCTGCTTACTTGCTTCTGCAAAGTATAGCTTTGATCAGCAATGAACAGCTTATTTCTGCGTAGCAGATGGAGTTTCATAGGCCATACACTTTTCAGGTCTTTTAAACACCCTGTGGAAAGGTATGATTGTTTTTAAGTAGCTCTGTGTGTCAGAACTGCCATATCTGCTTTATGTCCAATTCTTCCCTAGTGAGATTATATGGGATGTAAATCATGAGGGCATGTGGTTATGTCTTTAATAAAAATATTTTAAAATGTATGAAGTCTGGAAATCATCCAAGTTGCTAACAGGTAAGAAATAAGAGTGGCAGCCTCTCTCTCACAGACTTTTTTTATTGGAGTTTTTGCTCATCTGACACTTAGAACACTTAAATTATGAGAATACAGAAAGCCACTGAAATGTGTGTCAGTTTTGCTCCAACCAAATAATTTGTCACTGTTTCCTGTATGTAAGGATTAAAGCCTACAAGGGCTTAATATTAAGTCTGTATTTTGCTGTGTTTCAGAATCCTTGTTTCCTTATATCATAGGAATAGGATAGGAATTACTCCAAAGTAGTACTTCAAAGTCATGGTTGTTCATAAAAGTCATACTCCTCAGAAATAATAATTATAAATTTGAAAAGTCAATTTATAACTGGAAGAAATATTTTCTAGGGGGGTGTTTCCTCTTTTCTATATATAGACCAGAGTGATTTCTCTCAAAAACTGTATCAGCCAGCAACAACAGCAAGGATTTGGCAGCAGATGTTCAGTGCATCACTACCAAGTTATCCTTCTCATAAACTTACAAAGAATAAAGACCTATATTTTACTTCTATCTCATATGGAAATTTGCAATATATAAAGAGTGAGCTGTGAATGGAGAGTTGGACATGATGGCTTTCCAGTGGGAGTTTGTCATGTGAGACTTCCCAGTATTTTATGGCCTTTCTCACTCAAATTTTTTGAGTGTTAGATAGAAACAAGTGTTTGTGTCATTTTCAACAGATGTAAGAATTGGGAACTTTAATAGTTTGACTGTAAGGACAGCAAGTCTAGTGTTGTTTTCCTGTCAGCATACATCTGATGTGTAAAAAATACTGTGCCAAACGAACTGTACATCTCATGATAAATGAGGGCATGTCTCTTGCTGATCATGGCTGGTTGTGCCAAGAACATTTCACTGGGCAGATCTTTAGCAGATGTTTCCTCTTTGATTTCAATTTGATCTTTGCCACAGAGGTTAATAATATAAGCTAAGATTTTTATTTCAGCCTGGTAACTACTAATATTATCAGTCAAAATATTTTCCTGTGCTTTGTAGAAACCATTTTTTCTGTGCCTCCAGAAGCAGCCAGATCTTCATGCATTTCCCAAATAAGCTTTTCTTTTTGTTTTGCTCAATGAAAATCTAAATACCATTAATTTGATGGAATGTGTTATGTATTTATATTAAGGGAAGGTCAGTAGAGACTGAGTATTCTAAATATTTATGTTCAGATTCGCATTATAGATTTATAAGCAATATATTAATATCATCTTCAAGGGTTTATTTGCTTTTCAAGTGTTCTTGATCCTTCCTTAAATATCTTTTTAGATTTTATGTGTGGAATTTGAACTTTCATGATAGTGGAACTAATCAAAATATTATTGTCATCAGTAGAAAGTGTATACAACCACCTCTAATTTAGGAGCACAGAATATTTTCTTTCTTCTGTGATACAGTGTGAACCTCTCAGTGTTTAAGAGGCATTTTGGGCAAGGCCATCAGCCACTTGCTTTAAATTTTGGTCAGTAATAAATAGGTCAGGCAGTGGGACTGAAAGGTTGTTCGTGCATTCCAAATGAAATAGTTTATTCTACCCTATTCTAAAACCAAAAGGGCTATAAAGCAAAAGCATGAAAGTCAGATTTGAAACTAGCAACAAAATAGAATACTAAGTCACACTGTAATTTAAAAAAAATGTATCAACAGATAGAAAATAAATATCTTATTTCTGTATAAATACTAATTAGCCATTTTTAAAAATTTTGACCAACTTTGTTTTCTGTAAAATTATAAACCTTCACTTGCTTTGACCAGTTTTACTTCTGCCTACAAACTGCATTTGCCCCGGTGCGATGCTTTCAGTTTAAGAGATGTTATAGCACACGTCCTTTTTAAGTGGTTTTTTTTCAGTTCTTGGTGAATTTGTAGTGTGGAATGCAAAGATATGAGCTATCCCAGCCAAACATCAAACACCCACCCATTATATGGTGTATAGCTGCTTTTGTGTATGAAGCCCATTTTAAAAAGCGCTGTATTATGTGGTAATCTTTGAGAAGAAGAAAGAATAGTGGAGTTTGGGATTCCTCTAGGTCTGCTGCTATTCTTCTCAGTCCCCAAGGCTTGTGCAGCATTGAGAAATCCTTTTGATTTCTCAAAATAGGTCTTGGTAATATATTAGCAAAGAATAGATTGTGAATCTGCTGTCTACACTAGCACAAATATACCCTGGGACAGTAAGAAATGAATTAGTAATTACCAGAGAATTAGGCTCAACACATTTCTTTTATAAGTATCTAGAGCCTTAGGAATTCTTTATCCTTGACTCACTCAGATATTTCTATCCTATGCTATGGGCATCAGTTGCTTTTATTTTTAGCTACAAGGTCTTCTATTTTCTTGAGCGGTAAGAACATAAAAATAAAAAATGATAAGTTTATTTTGATGAATCAGTTGTTCTCAGGGGACAAAGTTCTGTTCTCATCATGAAATTCCACACAGATACTCAGTCACAGCTGTACCCATTTATGTCAAATGTAGTGGGTGCCTGGCTATTCAAGTGTCAGGTGAAGGAGAGGATTTCAGCCATGTTATGCCATGAAGGAGAGAAATGCAGAGAAGATTTCACTGAGTAAAAAATTAATTTTTTACTCTTCGACTTAATCACTTGAAAAAGGTTTTGTTTCTGTTTCTCTCTGATGATGTTTGTGACTGGTTTATGTGGCAAGGTTTGGTAGCAGGAGCATTCAGGGCTTCTGCAGGATGAGATCAGGAGCTGCCCTCATGTCAGACAGAGCCAGTTCCAGCAGCTCCAGGGAAAACCCTCCACTGGCCAGACTGAGCCTGTGGGTGATGCTGGTGGTGCCTCTGTGATAAGAGATTAAAGGGTAAAAAGTGCACAACAGGTGTGAGAGAGAGGGCTGAGAATATGAGAGAGGAACAGTCCTGCAGACACCAAGGTCAGTGCAGGAGGAGAGGGAGGAGCTGATCCAGTGCCCGGGCAGAGACACCCCTGCAGCCTGTGATGAAGGACATGCAGAGGCATTATTCTACTGTTATTCATTAACAATAAATTAAATTACTCTTTCTTTCAAGTCTGTTTCACCTGTAACAGTAATTTATGAGTAAGCTCCCTGTCTTTATCTCCTCTCTTGAGCTTTTCATTATATTTTCTCCCCTGTCCTGCTAAGATGGGGTAGTGAGAGAGTAGCTTTGTGAGCACCTTGTGGCCAGCCAAGGTGAACCCAAGGCAGGGAAAAACCATGGTAGCTCTTCTGTTTGGACAAACATGGCAGAAAAACATTTTTTTTTAAAAAGCATTTACGCATAGGAAATAAAGAATAACAGCACCTGTTGGCTGTGTAAGGCATCGACTGAATCCTTAAGGGTGTGTCTTTTGAAGTGTATGGGAAGGCAGCAAGGCCTGAAACACAAATTAGTGATAAGCAGATGTATTTTTAGGTTGTATGAATCAAATCATAGTTTTGTCTTCCTGAGTAACCAGCTTGCCAAAGGTCAATGCTGTTTTAAACTATTTAGTGAAAACATTTTTATACTTTTGATCTGCTTTCTAAGCATGGCAGTGCCCTTAAGCCAATGGATAGAAATCAGTCAGTATCAATGGGGAACATGTTACTTTTTGGATAAACTTTATATTCTGAGATTAGACAGGCGCGGATTGAGGAACCCACCAAGTTTTTAGATGGCTTTTGATTGGAGGCTCCTGCAGATCAGCAAGCATGTTTGTCTGGATTTGTTTTCAGATGTCCTGTTTTAAGTTGTCTCTTCATTAATATTCACCAAAATGAACTGCATCAAATGTTTAACAGTGAAGGGATCCACTGGAGGCAGAGCAGACATATGTCCACAGCAGACTGTACTTGATTAGTGTTTGCAGACAATTGCTCCCCGACAGAATGAGCCTGGGCTACTGGAAACAAAGGGTTTCCTGCCTGAAGCAAAATTGAATCATAATTATCATAGAAGGGACTGATGCTTATGAGTCACAATTTGAGATGTGTACTATTACATGTCAGTGGTAAGCAATTGAATCATGGTATTCATGATAATAATAATGAATATTGTGAAATTTCAGGTGAGTATTGGTGTTTCCCTAATGCTGCACTGAACTAGAGGAAGAAAATGTTGGGGTATTTAGGGAAAAAGGGAGGTAGCTGTATTAAAGAAAATATATTTATTAAAGTAATACCAAAGGTCTCCCATAAAACCTTTAACAGAAAATTCTAAATTCTTAGAACTTCAGTACGGTTATTTCAAAAGGAAAATATCTAATGGTTGTACCTTGAAATATACATTTATACACCTACTAAGACAAACTGAAAGGGCTTTTCAGTCACCTCCTTTGCACCATTTTCATGCTGTTAAGGTCAGTGAAATTACTTGGTAAAGCACCATGCAGAAATTATGAAGAACTAGGTCATACAACAGCTAATCTTTTAGGAGAACTTCTATAAAGTGTAAAGACTCATATGCATAAGAAAATCCCTCATAAAAATTTCTAAAATTACATTCTGCAGAACTATTTTTCCTAAGAGGCACAACATGGTGTCAGACAAGCACAAGGGAATTTGTGTTCAGAGGAAAGGGAAGAAGCATATTGAGGCTGCTTTTATTTACAAGTTGGACTATTTTAATTCTGAACTGTTGTAACCACCCTCTTATGTGATCTGAAGTGTTGGTGTGTTGCCCTTGCTTTCTCCAGCATGGTATACTTGGTCAAGAAATATTTCTTTTCCCAGTGGAAGGAATGCCTAATCTGAAAGTTAGTCTGAATTTCATTGGAAAACTCAGCAGTTGAATGTAAACAGTAAAAAGTCAACCAGAAAGCCCTAAATTTACCTAAGTAAAACTACTAAACAAACAAGTGCTCCCAGACTGCTGAGGATCAGTGAGAACATTTTAATTGCAAACTACTCTGAGAAGAGTGGGGGATTTTAATTAAACCAAAAAACAACCACTACTGAAATAGAGAAAAGCAGATAGTTCCTAAGAAAGTGATTGTTCTATCTGGAGGGGAAAAAAAATATTAGAATTTTTTTCTGAAATGTCAACCAAAAAGGAAGAAGCTCTCAGATTATCAGGGTCCACTGCATCTGTGCTTTATAAGACAGAAGAGGTCCTATCCTAAAGCCAGCTGGGGAACAGTAAACTGTCCTTGTGAGTGGATGTGTGGACACAATGCTCACACTGCTACAGTGCACTTATGTTGTGGTAATAGTAAGTTAAATGAAAAAAAAACTGACTTTATCTTACATTTCTCCCTCAATATGAACAAGTATGCAACTGAGCTTTCCTTTTCAGAGGACCACGTAAGCTTTGTGTTCCTGTATGCACCTCATTTGCTGTTATTTTCAGAAGCTGGGCAGAGGGCCCTGGTCTGTGTTTAGCTTTCAGAGTATCACACGCCTTTTCCTCTGTTTCATGATTTAAGAACAAGTGAAATAACAGTATTATCTTTTAAGCACTGTTGGCAGAAGAGTCCACTGGAATGAGATTAGTTTATTCTTCAGGGATATAGCTTCAAATTCTCTATATTAGTTATACTCTCTTCTGGAGATTTTCTTAGCAGCTGTAAGAGATTTGGTCTTTTTTCAATAAAAGAAGAAAGGATGATTCCTAAATGTTTGTAAAGCTGGGTAAAGGGAGTTTGGAATTCAGAAACTCTGCTCTGTAGCTGACATTCAAAAGTCAAAAGTGGGGGTGTAACATCTTCATTGAGTAAGTAGTGTCTGCTGCTAGAGTTCATCAGTACAATTAGAGTAATGAAAAACACAAATAATATTTTTGAAATATTCTGCATAATTTATAATTAAATAATTATAATTAAGAAAAGTCTAAAGGAGAAAAGTAGTCTGGGTGGGAAAGTTTCATTCTGCAGTGTTCATTAAAACAGATCAGTTACATCTTTCACTGAAAAATTACACTGGAAACAAGATTTGAGTCTACATGTGTCAGCTGCCACTGTTAGGAGGGGCATTATAGAAGTGAGATCATTGTAATTCTGAGCTGTTGAAATAAAGATGAGAAAGTAAAGATATTGACAAATATCTCAAACTGTGCTTATGAAAGCATGTGTGATAAATTATAGATACAAGAAATCATTTCAGAAGTACCCAAATACTTTCTTTACATTATTGACGTTTATTAGAATGTCAGGCTCAGGCTCAGAAAATTCAACCCAAAAGTTTTTTTGGTTCAGCTGCCTGAGGTCCAACACTAAAAGTAAAATATTCAGCAAACATTTTCTTCCCTCAAATTGCTGACTACAGAGTTATAACAGGCTTGATTTTGTATTGTGGCTATCTAGAAACATAGATAACAGCATACACAGCACAAAAGTTCACAGATCCCTTCCCAAGCTCATTTATATTTTCATCAGACCTCAGTAGATCTAAAATCTTCTCTAACCTAACGTATTGCCTCCAAAATGATAAAATAGTTTGTGTTTGAGAGATCAAATCCATAATAAATGCAAGATTTTTCTATGCATTTGCTAAAAAAAAAAATCCCACTGTAAGTCTCTCTGACATCTTATGGCTTGGAGGGGGCTCATCTCTCCCCCTCTCCTTCCTCCTTTGGATTGATCATTTATCTTATTAGGGAAAAACAGCATATGTGATTATTTCTGGTTGTTATGCAGCAGTGGAAATCATCCAGTTTCTTCCCCCTGGCCTGTGTTCCTGAGGAGCCACCAACTACTGAGTCTGGGTTTTAACCACTCCTCATAAATCAATGCTACTAAAATCATTAAACAATGATGTCATTTCAGGCTGAAGTATAGCTTTATTGCATTTGATTGTTAATAATTGTATCACAGTGATCATTTTCTCTTAAGTCTCTCAGTGCTCCTCTTTAATATCTGCATCCAGCTGTACTTTATCACTCAGTGTGTCTCCTTTGCGTGTCTTCAGCTCGCGTTTTCTGCTCGATGACTCTTGCCCTGCCAGTGAAGGGCCTTGAGAAAAGTGATGTCTGTGGGAGTGGGGCTGGATTCTGCTTCACGTTGTGACAGCCCCACTGCCAGCTCCAAGCTTTCTCTGCAGAATCTGCCTGACTCATGACAATAGAAGGGCCAGAAAAAAAGCACAGCTGGGGCTGCCATTCCCAGGCTGGGATGGAAGCCCTGAGGGCAGAAAACTCATCTTTTGGATGAGCATATTTGATGTGAGAGATATTGGGAGAACATCATCCTGTGTTCCCATTACACCTTTACAAAGTTAAACTGTACCTTGATCCACTCTGACTGAATTTCCTTCTCAGGATATTTTTCTCAAAATTATTCTTCACTTTCTTTGTCAATGCAGAATGTACTCTTCTCTTGAGCATGCTAACCAAAGATATGTCAATTTGTTATGGAAATCATGTGTCAAGTTTAAGATATTTCTAATAAGAAAGGAATCAAACTCTTTTTTAGCATTAAATCTGCTTTGTAGTCTCAAAAGTTAAACATAATTGTAAAAAGATGCTATAGCTCTTGCCTGTGCATGTGAGTGTCTGCATATCTCTGTGTGTATGTATATATCAATTATGATTATGAAGGTTTTTTCATAATTTAATGCATATTCATTTTTTCAATTGATTCTATTTGTATGCATTCTTTAGTAGAAAAAAAATTAAAGAAATTTAAGGAAAACATAATGTAAAATAGAAAAAAATAATTCTTTATAGATGTTAGTAATAGGACATTATAAATGGGATTTATTTTATTCCCAGCTAGATTTCTAAAGCTGGTTGGTATGAAATGATCTCTTTCCTTCCATCCACATGATTACTATTCTGTAGCTGGCTGTACATAACTTGATTATATTATGTTCTCAGGGCTGTTGCTGGAGTTGACGGGGACCTTGATTTAGTTCATATGGAAATCCAGGACCTCAGTGGAGGTATGCAAATGAAAATGTTATCAATTGATACACTAGTATATAGTTATTTCTCTTTGGTTTAGAGGTACTTTTTGGACTTTTTTTTAAACTAGTCAGAAGAGAAAATATGCAAGTCAGATTATTTCTCTGTTTATTTGTAGTCAGCAAAACTGTCCTGTTATATAAAAATATAGTGTAATTTAAAATCTACTTGTTTTTCGCTTTAAGAGGAATTGATGTCAAGATGCTAAGCTCTGTTGATAATGTCCATTAATAGTGCAATTTATCCTGGCATTTAAACATTGAACAGTTTTTCCTGATTTGCAAATGAAACTGGCAATGCAGTGTTAATGCTGGGTGAGTGTCTGTTAATGTGAATCATTGCATGTGTCAGGTCTAGTGCAACAGCCACCATCTCTCAGGATTTCCTCATGTTATAGTATCCAGTATACTTTGAAACTTCAAAAGGAAAATAAATGAAAAAGTAGATTACTAGTCAGAATGTGCTTAAAGAGACACCATGATTCCAAAAGCTTGTATAGTTTCTTATTACCTATCATACTCTTGAAATGTAATTTAATTCCTTGGATCAGGTCATCTAAGTTTCTGTGCAGTCTAAAAATGAGTCATAAAGAATGCACAGTTTGACTTGCTCTGTTCCCATAGCCTTTCTTAATTATAGCCCTATTGAAAAATCAAAGTTACCGTGTTAAAAGCTGAATGAAAAAAGTCTAAATCTTTTAGCAGTAAGATTCATGAGACATAGTGACAGCTCCATCAGCTGCTTTTTTTAGAGACAATGTAAGATGATTCTTTGGGGCCTGAATGCAAAGGGATTTTTGGTTGGTGGTGGAGTTTGGATGGGTTTTTTTGTTTCACTTGGTTGATTTTAGTTTAGGGTGGCTTTTTTGGAGGGGAGTGTGGTTGGTTTGTTTGGTTGGTTGGTTGATTATTGGGATTTTTTGGTTGCTTGCTTCCTTTTTTGTTTGTTTATTTCAGTTTTGGCGGGGTTTTGGTTTGGTTTTTTGTTTGTCTTTTTTTTTTTTTGAGTTTTTTGTGGGGTTTTTATTTTATTTGTATTATTTAAGAAATAGCAGAGAAAGAAAAATTCTCATAAAATACCTCCTGGGTAGATTCTCAATGAACTGACTTTATGCAATTAGGGTCAATACAAGCATAGCCATTGATTTTAGTGGAAACAGCATATTTGCACTACCCATATGAGAAAGAACTGTAATTTTTGTGTTGTGAACAGTGAGCACCTGCAGCACTTTAGATGGTCGATTGCTGCACCAAATATTCTCATGGTGATGATTTGGACATAAGCAAGACAAGTTGGATTGAGTCTAACTGCCTCTTAAACAGATCCAGATTCTAAAACAAATAATTGCATCCAGTATACTGGTTTTGTCCTTCTCTAATACAAAGTCATTAAATGTGAGATGCATTTCCCCTCACACTGCAAAAGTAGTGAGGGGCATGAGGATACATTTTCTGCTCTCTCACACTGTACCTGGAGCATGGGTAGCATTAGTGATATGGGCACAAGATTCTGTAAATAACATTTTCCTCCCTGTGCTTGGGCAAGTCACTCAGCTACTTTGTGCTCAGAAGTTTGTGACAAAGGATGAGCTGTACAAGGGCTTAGGGAGGGTCTTTAAGAGTCCCAGGGACGGTCTTTAAGTCACAGCTGGTATAAGGTAGTGATTGTTGGCTCTGCTCTCTCTGATAAGAGCAGATTGTATCAAAGATGCAGTGGTGCTGTTCTAAGAACCCAGGGAGAGAAGATAGTCCTTGCTAACTGGAGAGGAAGAGAAAGGCCATAGCCTCCTCTGATTATAAATCAGTCTAAGCTTTCTCAGCAAGGTATTAACTCTGAATATAGAAATCCTGCCCCAACAGACCAGTTCCAATAGTGTGCTAATAGTGTGTCTGAACATTCTTACAGAGCTTTGAAAATAGGCTTTAAAATTCTGCACGCTGTCTATTAAATGGAGCCTGATTCTTTTCTCATTCATCACAGTTTTATACTGGGGTTGATCTATTGATTTCAGTTATGTTGTGTCAGGCTGCCATTTCTCCAAGTGAATAATTCGGCTCTGTGCATAGGTTAAGTGAGAAAAGAGGCTCCTTCTATTATCCCCACCCATGAATGGCTCATTCATCTAACCCCTAATCTCTCTGGACCAGCAAAATTTGGATAATAACAGGCTGCCTCCAGGGAACGATCTGAACTGTAAGCAGTTAATATATTCTCAGTATGTTGGAGATTGAAAAAGTCTTATATGAGAATTTAATATAATAATTCTACAACTAACTCACCTGGCAAAGGCAGCCTTTTTCCTACATGAATAGCATTTAATACTGCTTGCTTCTTTTTCCCATGATAGTCCTGTCATATGTTTCTGTCTCTCTTCCCTCAGGTTATCGCTACATCACTTGCCAGATTCAAAATTGTTCTGATAAGACAATGACAGTCCCATTTGCTGGCAGCACTGATCGGGATTCCCTGACTGTGCAGGATGACTACATATTTCTTCAGGTACTGCCATTTTTGGGAGAGACAGCTCATTTTCAAATTCAAAAATAAAATACTAAACAGTGCAGCAACACTGTAGGGAGCAGGGAGGAATTAATGGATGGATTCATGAATGATTTATGATTTTTTATATGGAAAAAAAGCATTCCTTTATCAGTCCAAACAAAAAAGAAATTTAAAAAAATCTTTCCTTTGTGCAACCAGTTGCCCTTTAACTATATTAAAATTTTCAAGTGGACTGTGTTACTTTTTATACTCTTGTGTGTTAGGTGAAATGCAAACCTTGTGTTCCTGTGATTACAAATTCTTCTAGGTCCTTTCCAGGGCAAAACCCAAAAATGTTCCCTGGGAAGAGCATCCAAGGACAACCACTGGCAGAGTAGTTGCACAGCTTCTTCACATGTATTCTCCTCTGAAGAGGAAATGTTCTTGCCAGGAAAGAACTGCTAACATGGCTGTGCTTAGGAAGCAAAATGGCCATAGCTGGGGAGCTTGGAGCAAATTAGCGTGGAATCATAGGATGATTTAGTTTGGAAAAAAACCTTAAAATCCAGTCCAGCCACAAACCTAACACTGCCAAGTCCATCACTAAGCCATGTCCCCAAGCGCCACGTCTACAACTCATGGTGGTCCAAATTACATCAGGGTTATTTCATTCCCAAATTACAGGACCTGCCTGCAGAAATATGGGCTGGAACTTTGTCAGCCATGTGGCACCAGTACAGCTCAGGCACACTTGTTAAGTATTGTTTTAAGTGCTTGGCACTGGTTGTGGTTTGCATCTATCAGAGCTGCAAACTTCTCAAGGAGCAGTTATGTCCTCTTTGTTTTATTACCTCTTTGTATTTATTTACTAGGGAAGTTGTTTATGTTTTCCTTACTGCTTGGCTATCATTTTTCTCTTTGATGAGATTTGTTTGCTGCAAGGTTTATCTATTTACTGAGTTTTGCAAGAAAGCTTTTTGTGGCAATGGATAAACCTCCCCACCAGTGCCTCAGTGTGCATCAGATTGTCTCCTTTCCAACTTTTCCCCCTTGAGCCTGTTTCTTCTGCAAGGACCTGGAAATTAGTAAGGTCACAATGGATCTCTTCTCCTCCTGTTTGACATAGTGGTTTCAAGGACCCACATGGCTAAGAGAAATTAACACTAAAAAAAAAACCAGCCAAACAAACAAAAACCCCAACCCCAAAAAAAAAACCACAAACCAAACCAAAAAACCAAGAAAACACACACCAACCAAAAGAAAAGAAAAAAATACCACAACCCCAAAACTAAAACCCAGACAGTGGCATTGGGAAAGAACTTTTGGACTAAAATAGGCATTTTTCAGATAAGATCTAGCACTCATGGCACACATTTTGCTCAAAGCAATTATCATCCGTGGCTCCCTCAGGAACAGTCTAAAAATCCATTTCATAGTGTGTAGGTGCTGAGAACTGCTTCTCACTATGCAAACTTCCAGACAGCCGTGCTCAGCAAAACACTGTCTGCTTCCTCATCAAGCATTTGGCTTTGCTGGTGCCATGTACAACTGCATCCTGAGCTGTTACTTACTCACTTTCATGACAGACATGAGCAGACACAAAATGGAAGTACAAGGTGGAAGTGTACACATAAATAATAGACAGCTGCTGCTCAATGACGCCTTTGGTAATTTGGTCTCTCTAGATCTGAGACATGTCAGTGCCAGTAGATGAGATGTTCGCATGTTCCACATAAAAGGGAAACATCTCCAGTGTTTTTCCTTTGGACTTTTCTGCAGTAAACCACAGTATGTAATGTATATCTTATTGCTAAATTGGTTTGCAGTTAGCCATACCTGTATTACTGGAGGAGAGAAGGTGACTCTGGGATCCTGTAGTCACATCTGAAGCACAGCACCCCAGAGGTGTGAGGCAGGACAGCATTTACCTGTTCCAGTGCAACCTTTCCAGTGCAAGCACACAGCAGCTGCACTTCTGAGAGACAGTGTACTTTTGAAACCATGTGGAAAGTCTTTTATCACTACACTAAAGTGCAGTTATATAAGTTATAATCAGACCAGGGACTCCTCATTGGATCACCACAATGCCTGTCAGAAAGAGGATGGGACAGATTCCTCTGTGCAAAAAGACAGGAGAGTTAGAGACTCTCTGCCCCTGGCATTGTTCATATTTCCTGAGAGTGTTGCAGGTCTGTACTGGCCGAAATCTATTTTGGATATTTTTACCATCTTAGAGGAAGATCTCAGCCACATTTCTTTAGTATGTATATATCCAAAAATATTAGAAACTTTCTAATACTCATTTTTTTACCAATTTGCACAGACAGTCAGACAGTTCCAGAGGTGATTTTAGTACGAGGATTAAAGTTTCAACGCTGTTCTTAAGCACAGACCAGCCTTTAATACCAGTGAGGCTTGACGTGATTAGGTGCTTCAAGTCCAATTTTCCTCTGCCTTGTATCTTCTCCATTCATTTAAATGTCATTTAAATGAATGACATTAAAACATGCATTTTAAAAAAGCCTGTGAACAGGTGGGTAAGACTGCCATTTAGCACTAGTTAAGCGAATGATAAGGTTTCTGGTTTGATCCATCATCATTTAACAAATCACATTCGTAAAGGCATCATATTTTTTATATAACAAAAAAAAATTGCATACAATATTAAATACTTTGTTACTTTTAAAATATTCAGGCATGTGGACCTGCTGTCATATATCAACTTTATTTTTACCAAGCCAAATCAAGTGTTCATGTTTCAGGATAGGCTGTCTTTCAAATCAGGTTCCATTTTAAACACAAAAATTTAGGAGAAAAATAGTGATATTGGGGTAGGATTTTAAATGGATTTCCCAAGTAAAAGAAAGAAGATGAGTCTCAATGTGAAAAAAAAGGGAAATATTACCAAAGGCTAACTTTTATTTAATGATATCATCTGGTAGTGCTCAAAGGTTTAGTTGGAATTATGCCAATTTATATACGAGCACTTTGGTGTTACATTTCTGATTAGAAAATCCAGGAGAGGTTGCGAGCTGACTATTTTCACTAATATTTATTTGGAATGTTCCTTTTGATATTTGGAACATTGCATTAAAAGTAATTATGACATATTTCTGTTACAGCTTAAATGCAAAACAGTCGTCCATACCAGGTTCTTTAGATTTAACATAATCTGTCACAGAGTTCTGTTTCTCCTTTGCATAGACAACATCAGCAAATCGGACCAAGTATTACGTGTCCTACCGTCGGAATGGCTTTGTACAGATGAAGTTGCCAAAATATGCATTGCCAAAAGTAAGTATGCATTCTTTTCTTTCTCTTTTTGCATTTGTCATCTTCTCTTTCTACCTAAACTAGTTTTGTTCAGCTCTTTTCCAAACTTCATTATCCTGAGTTCACAATTTCTCCTTATAAGGATTTTTGAATCCTTATTTTTATTTTGAATATTGCTTTTATTTGTGTTGCAGTAATGTAGTACTCATAAACCATAGAGGGGAATAATGTGCAACAGCTTATTTGTCATCAGTTACTGCAACAGTTTTTGAGCTTTGCTTCCATGAGGCAGTGCTATACACTCAATTGCAATGGAAAAATATGGAGCAAGTGTTCTTTCAAGAATCAATTGCATTTTAATTCTACATGATGTTGTATGGTATAAGCATGAATCCTAATATAAGAGAATTTTGCTATTTGGTGTTTCTCTATTTCATTAAAGAATCCCAGTGTGACTTTGACTGCTCAATGAAATTGCAAGACTTGGTGAGAGGTTCCTTCAGTCTGCCATATCTTCCTAGTGATAGGGTTTTTATATTTCCATAGTAAATCAGCAATTAAGCACAGAAATTTAAATATGGTCTAATTGCTGTAGTTGAATTTTTTGTGCTGCACACAGTGTATTTCCTAACTTTACAGTTAGGAAGCTTCTGCAGTCCTGAAGAAAAATAACTTGGAAGTTTGAAAGATCCAGTGGGATAAAACCCTCAGTAACCAGCTCTGACCTTACAGTTCACCCTGCTCCCAGCAGGAGGCTGATCTGGAGGTCTCATGAGGTTCCTGCTCTTTCATTTGACTCTCTGTGGTTCTACCATTTATTTAGCAGAATACTTGTTTTCTTTGCATGCCTTGAATTGTATTAGTTCACTTAATTTCTCATCTAAGGAAGGACATTAGAGTACAATTTATTCCTTTATTGTTATAAAGCAAACATTCTAATATATTTTTTTTTTATCTTAGTTTTGTTGTTTTTTTTTTTTTTTGATGCCAGTATAAATGGTGGTCTGAAGTAATTTTAAATGTACAGAATCTCAGATCGAATCCTCAGGTATTAGTTGAACAAGAATCTGAAACTTGGATATGCTCTGAGTAGCACTACAGAAATATTTCTCTCTATCTATCTCTCTATCTTGTCAAGATATGTATAGTCTAAGACAGGTATATAGACCAGCACTAACACAAAGGTAGTTCTGTGTTTTTCAGGCCTTCAAGGCAGTCTTTATACTTTCTTGAGGGAAATTATAGTCAGGAAAACAGCAGGAGAATATCCAGGTCTTGAAGGTTAAAATATGCCAAACATGGACACCTCAAGGGACTGCAGCCCATTGAACCCTGCACTGGGACACAAATAAGCAATTAAGGAGCAAGGCAGGGAAGCAGAGTGTAAACAAGGAGCTTCTGACACATTCATAAAGTGTCAGTCACAATTCCCTGCCATTTCTGTCATATGGAGTCTGCATTGTTTGAAATAGTGCCGCATGCTCAATTCTTTGCCTTGGAAAATATGGCTTTTGTTTATTTTTCTTTTTTTTTTTAGTGGATTACCCCAGGCCTGACTGAATAAATAAATGAGAAGTTAATGGTTTCATTTTGGATAGAGTCTATAGCTACCTATGAACAGGTTGATTATGTCATTTTGAAAGAGATGTTTTTGTGCTCTTCCGAGTTCAGGAAATACACAAAAAGAGGAATAAAGTAAATATTATCTCTTCAGAATTTTGACAATGGTTCCATTGTTTCTTTAGTATCTGCACAAAAGAGAGTTCAAAATTTCAGGAAGAGGGCCTAGAAGCCAGACATAAATTTAGAATAATGGTGATTATGAAAGATTTTAAGCTTTTCTGAGGAAGACTTTTTTTTAAAGTGATTTGGTACCTTCACATTATAACAGAAATTTTACATACTGAAATAAATAAGAATAAAGCTCTGAAAGGTTTCACAGTGCTATATTTCAGTGAGAATCATCCAAGTGGAGTAGAATTGGATCATAGAACTTTGCAAAGACACAGGATATCAGCAGAGACACTGGCACATTAAATGTACATTTAGAACATGTGACTTTGGAACTGCTTATTTTACGGTGGTAAGAGATAAACAGAATGGATGAATTTACAAATGATATTTTTTAAGATTGATTAAAACCAATAGCTTTTGAAAGATGAGTTTCAGAGAGTTTTAAATATTAGATTTTGCCTAACCAGGAGATGAAGCATGACTATAACAGCCTATATTTCATTTTGCTTGAAAGCATGAAATGAGATGTCAAAAAAATCTCTTTCCAAGTGGTCTCTGTACAGAATTTTTGAGCAGAGATTGTATACAGGGAAGGAAAACTGTAGCCAAGTCAGAAAATGCTGTAGTCTGGTCAAGGATGTGTCTAACAGCGTCAGGAGAGGTTTGCCAAAATGCATCCTACGGCCTTAGGGGACTAGGCTGGATTCTTCAGATATTATTCTTTTGCTACATAAATTCCTTTCAATATGATTTTACATATAGAGATAGAACGAGCAATTTCAGACTCAATAGTTAGAAAATGTTTTTGATGTCTCATTTTCCTTTCAATATGAAAAGGTTGGAAATCTGTAAAAAAGTTATTCTCTTTTTTATATATTGTTTGCATTAGCATTTGTGTTTATGATTGTATTTGTCCAAATCCATCCCCAAAGAGAAACCTAAAAAAGAATAGTGTGTCTTTGGACATATCTGCAGTCCTCCTTACTTGTGAATAAAAGTCTGCTAAAAGCAGCTTCCAGTCAGGCTTTGCCTCTGTTAAGTTTCTGGGCTCCAGCTCCACAGTGCCCCTGAGATCACCTTTTTGTAACACATCATAGCTCTGTGTGTGTACAGACAGCAGAGCCATTGGGGGCCATCAGGATTCAGATAATTTTTTTAACCTTTTTTTTGTGCTGTTGAGAGATCTTTTTCTTTTTTTAACACTGTGTTTGATACTGACATTGCATGGAATCCCACAGCTGTCTCCTGTATTTGACAAGTGTTGGCTGCTGCCAGGAAGGGTAGTAGCAAAGGCTGGTGAGACCATATCAAAGATTGCTTGTACATTCCCCAAAACAGAAGAGGAATTTTCAAACTGTTGTTTTCAAACTGTTACTTTAAAATTTAACTTGTTTTTATGCTGGATTCCATTTTACCAAGATTGCTTGTTCTGTGCTGCTAAAACTAGATCAGAAATTAGGAACTCGTAGGAAGTGAAGACCAAAATCAAGCCAAGAGCAGCAGGACTGCATTTGTGTGTCAGCTTGGCTGGTTCAGCATCCAGGAGTGTCCCAGGGGATCCAGCAATCCCCTTGGGCTGTTTGCAGCCTGGAGCAGAGGTTCAGCTGTCACTGCTGGGAGGGCAAGTCTGCCCAGGGGCACAGGCTAAAGCCCCACGCAGCCTGTCAGCACACTTGTATTGCACAAGTTCCTGCAGCTCTGATTGCCCTCTCCTTGGGAAGAGAGGGAGCAGCACACTGGATCTGGTCCTTGTTCAGGTATTTGAGTCGTGCTCTGATGTGGGTAGCAATAAAAATGAGAACTAGTTCATTCTGAGAGTTTAAGCAAAAAAAAATTGTTAACAAAATTTTTGACCAAGCCAAGGAAACTGCTACAAATTATGGCAATTTTACTATTGCAATTGGGAATAATTTAATTATTCTGAGTTCTCTTCCCATCTCTCTTAAATAAATTCCATTATAAAGGGAGATAATGCTCTCCCTTTAAGAACTGATACGCGGCATTGATTAATTCTACATTCATTCATGCCTCATACAAAATCTTAATGATGCAAGAGCTCTATTGTTTGTTGTATCCTGCTGCAATTCAGAACGTTTAGTTCTGAAAAGATATGGTGTGGAAAAAGCTTCTTTCATCTTTTTCAATCTCTGTATCTATTTTCAATCTTGTGACACAGGCAATAATGTAAAATTTTTCAGGTAACCAAAATAAATGGAAGTATAGGGGAAGAGTGAACAAAAACAAAAGAAGAAAAAATCCAATTGCCTTAGAAATAGGGTGAAGTCTGTACTTTATTCATGGCAATATGAATCCCCTATAAATTCCTTTTATCAGATTGATGTATTCTTTTTGTTTGACTATCACCTCATCACCTCAAAACATGCCCACCTCTTCCTTGCCTCAGTCTGAATACACATCACTGTTTTAACTGTAGACTTACTTCTGAAATTGTCTGTGTCATTCAGTAATAGATATAAGACAATCCTTAAATGGGCCTATCCATTAACAGCAGAAATTATAGAAGATTCCTGCAGGCCTTTTGTGTGATGTTCTCTAAGGATTTGGCTGCCTGATGGTTGGATTGTAAACTACTGAGTCCATGACAGCTCATTTAGCAAGGCTCTTAGTCTCACAGTAATTTTTGTCCCACTGGAGAAGCCCCTTCACCACCTCTGCCACTCACTACCCTGGGAGGCTTTGGCTGAGGTTGCTCCCCTGTACCAGGCAGAAGAGCAGTTTTCAGCTCCATTCTTCTGAAAGTCCACTGGAATGGCTGCTGAGCAAAGAAAAAAAGGGAACAAAGTAGAAATGCAGGTTGCAGTGGCATTTGATGCAGGGGAAATATTCCTTTCCCAGGCAGTGTCACCACAGCAGCCAGTGAACCTGAGCTATAGCAGCTGTCTGACTTGCTGGGTTTACAAATCCATCTATTCAAGGAACTATTCTTTTCTTCACTGTGCAACTTATTGATTTCTCTCCCTGAACCTCTTTTCCTTGGCCAGGCAAGGAAGATTAGGAGGATTATTTTTAGGATATGTGCCATCCAGTTACCTTGATTGTGCTTGAGAGATTACAAGAGTATAAATGTGGTACATCTAGAGGTCAAGACTGAGACTACAGAGCCTTGAGCCCCTACTTGAGTTCCACTACTGATACATTTACTGCTCACCATTCTCTGTTTAATACATTGCTTATTTCATGTTAACATTTTGCTCAACCACAGCATCAGAAGATTGCAAAGGGGCAGAATTCTGTCATCTGACCAAAAATTGTAAGATTAAAGACCCAAGAATTTTGAATGATACTTTCTATATTATCAGCACATTGTAGACAAAGGAGCATTGCTGGCCTGTACAATCTTTGTCATCTTTTATAGCCTTCTGTCTTCAGGCTGTAATTGAACTTATTTGTGTCATAGAGTTTCTTATCACAGTAATATGGTAAACCATAGTGAGCATTTCTTGAATACAAAATTTTTTAAAGTATTTGCAGACTTATAGGCTCGTCAGTTACTGAATGTGGATGGTATACAGTGAAAACAACTAATTTTTCTTCACTTCCTCCTTTAAACCTCTTTCCTTCTTTCCTGCTATCCAAAATCCCCTATATCCCAACTCTGTTTAATAGCTTTGTGCTTTTTGGACCAACTTTTGATTGGGTGTTCATTCAGCTTTATGTGATAACAGACTTGACTACATTAAAAGCAGGTAATTAATTATGGAAACATTGTTGGTATCTCTGTGTTAGAAGTAAAGAAATAATTTTTAAGCAGTGTTTTCAAGAAGAAATATTTTATTGTGTACTTGTTGGAACTGTTGATGGATCTAAGTGTATGCTCCAGGTCATGGCTGAACATGCACAGTTGTTTCAATGCCTTGTGTGCACCCTCAGACTCATTTATTTAACAGACCGTGTCTGTTCCATGTGATATGGAGTCTTTGAAGTGGTGCTCATCTTTTGGCATAAGTTGGCCTCCTGTAAATGCCTAATTATTTTGGGTATCACTTTGAAACTGCCGTTGTGTTATTTATTTGTTAATTATGTTCTCTGCTATTGATGTAGTACAAACATAGCAGCTTACAAGTCCCTGAGAGAGCAGGAGTGACATGACCTGTCACTGGATGCCGAATTTAATCATGCCAAATTTTAACATGAAGTCTTTGATCAGGATTCATTTAGCATTTTTTGTAGAAAAGTAATTCTGATTCAACAGATCTCCAGCTGTCCCTAATTCTAATTCCATGGGCTGGTTAACTGCTTTGGACCTATGAGTAGTTTCACAGATTTTTAGTGAAATATACAGATTTCTGTGGTCTAACATATCCCAGTCTAACATATCCCAGTGAAGAGGGAAGGATGAAGGAAAAATTGTGATAAAGGAATTTCAAACTACAGTGCACAAGAAGCACCTTAGTAGACAAAATAGAGAAATCTCATGGGGGCTTAGAGCTTAAAAAAAAAAAAAAAAAAAAGAAGTTTTGGACAATGCGGCTTGTAGAGCCTCAGAAATGTGCAAAAGCTTACAACCTAAGAAGAGGAGATAAAGGGAGTATTTGGGAATCTCAGTCTGTGGCTGATACCAGCTGACATTGGTGAGCTTTGCAAAAACAAAGAGAGAAAGAGGAAAGTGAAAATGGCAAGAGCATGGATTCTTGGGTCAGTAAGAGATAGAGCAGAGGAGACCTGGCAGACTTGAGAGGACAAAAGTAAAGTAGTAGAGATAAGAGAAGGGATGCCCATGGAGAAGTGAGCATTCCACAGAGGAAACAGCTATGGCAAAATGGGGAGAAGGTTCTGCCTTGGGATATCTGGAAAGGCATGGACTCCCATTTCAGTATGGAAGTGAAAGAAAACTGCAAGATCTTAATACTGAATGTGTATGAAACTGCAGCCTGGAGATACCAAAAATCTGAATAGAGACAATAAGGACTGTTCCAAAACCTGAAGATCTCTAGCACCAGTAAGGAAAGTCTTTATAAATTAATTTGAATAAATTGTGTGTGAATAGCATAATTACAGAAAAATACGATGATCAGTGGCACTTTGTGTAGCTTGCAGAATGTAGAGAAAGAAAGCAGGGACCCCAGCAAAAGGCAATTGCCTTAGTCCAAGCGTGAAATCATAAAAGAATAAATGCTTTCCTTATAGGATCTGCTGAGGTTACAGCCTAAGGTTGTATCTGTGTCCATGAACTAGATAAAGCAGTAAAAATGTGCATTCCCTCTATCAAGATTTTTTTTTCCCTCAGGCATCCTTTCTAGTTAACTCTTAGGTGACAGACAGTAGGTACTGCCTAGCAATATTTGCTGATGTCCCCTCTCCATGTACTTCTCACCTCTTGAGCAGTGGGGGTAGCTGGGATGAAGGAATGCAACCCATCCCCTGTATTTGCCAACCAATGTCTTCTTTTTAAATTCATGTTTCAGAATAGGAATAGTACGAGACTGACATGACAATTTACATTTGTTTTAAGTAGATTTTCAGCAGTTTGTGTCACCCAGGATTCTGAAAGATAAGTTGAAGGACTGGGCATGAAATTTGCAGTTTTCTTCACATTGTCAATTACTTTTCCCAGAGGATTGTATCAGAAAGCATGGGGCAGGAAATGCTGCACAGGATTGTTGCAAGGTAGTATAACTGAAGGACTACGTTGTTCCTTGAGGGAAAAGAAATCACTGTGAAAGGAAAATAGCTGTAAGGCTGAACTGGTAATCTGAAAGCATAAATTCTGAAAGGAAGGAACAAAGTTCAAGGCAGTGCAAGGGTAATTTCACTTGCTAAGACCAGGATCTGTTAAGCTCTTGCCTTGGCAAAGTTGCCAACCAGCAGCCTGAGAGGACAAACATCTTTATTAGTAACAGCCACTGCCAAGAGGAAAGTGAACTCTGATTTGCTGAGTAAACTTTTGCATCCAACCTCTCTTTCCCTCACGTGGCCCCCACAGTCTGCCCAAAATTAATCTCCCAGTCCTTGAGCCCTGCACATTTTGGCTCTTTGCGTGCTGCTGCTGATGGCTCTGCTGCTCCCACCCCACCCAGAGCTGAGCCCATCCCCAGCTCCTGCCCCTGCCACCAAGGCCACCCCAGCAAGCACTGCCTCCTCAGCAGGGAAAGCGTGGAGTGGGACAGTGCAGGGCAGGGAAAGTGCCTTGCCTACATTCCCTGGAGGTTTGCATTTGTCTGTGGCACTGTATAAATGTTTTATTGTAAGAATGTAGTCGTTAATTTTGCAGAAAGCTCCTGGCTTTGTGGAAGATTAAGGGTTTTCTAGAGGTTTTCATATTAAAATATTGTTTCTTTATTCTTTTTGACTCAGCTTCACTTCCATCCTTGTTATCAGATAGTCATGGGAATTTTCCATGTAGTATAATGTGGGCTACCGAACCTCATGTTGCCCTGGTTTAAGGAAGGAGATGAAACATTCTATACATTAAAGAGACTTTTAAAAGAACTTGCTGTGATTAGTTGCTGTGTTTTGCTGGCATTTCTACCAAACTCTCTGCTTTGGAGTAATTTTTCAGTACAAAAAAAAAAAAAAAAAAAAAAAAAAAAGGATAACTATTCCTGAGATGCTAAACAAAATAATCTGCTTTACTACTTTACTACAAAGTTCAAAGGGAGTCTTTGGAAACCGCATCGAGCTTAGATTCTTAGATTCTTCATTCACTTCTTGTGTTGACATGTGTCACATATGCAAAATACTTTAACTAAACTATTAGTATTTAATAACCCTCCTCTGTTCATATTAAACATCTTTCCTTTGCATTATTTTACTTCTATACGTGTCTTTTTTTAATCTAAGTGCCTCAGTCACTGTGCATATTGCCTACAGTGTGACTACCATGCTTTGCTGAGTTCTCAGTGTTGCTCTGTTAGTCACACTTTCTTCAGTCTGGAGATTCTTATGAATTTAGTTTGTCTCCTTGAGTTTTGTTTTTTTTTTTAATCTAGTTCATCCTCAATTCTTATTCTCTTGACATTCTGGTAGCTTTATTTAATATTCACTCCATTGCTGTATTACTTTTCCAGTAATAAGGTGACCAGAGCTGAATACAGTATCCCAGTAAAGTACCAAGGTCATGAAGAGCTTACAAGCTTTCAGTCTCTGTGACTTGATGTCATTTCTTACCTAGCCCCAACATCTGCCTTTGTGCTGCCAGATCATGTTGCCAACTCATGTCCCTTTATTCTCTGTCGTAAGTTTAGTTCAGTGTTGCTACTTCCTGATTTTTTTCTTATGTTTGATATTAGTGTTAAATTATTTTCCCCAGCTGTGAATTTTTTTTTTTTTTTTCCTCTGGGACATTTGGAGTGAAGAAGCTGGGAAAACTGAGGGCAAACTGTAGCAATATCCATGCCTGAAATTCCTGGAAAATGAATGCAGAATGTAGACTCTCCTGTTATTACAGTTGAATATTTAAGTGGTTGTGTAGACATAGACAGACAAATTAATGTAATCTACTATAATGCACACGAGCTGTGTGCATGATAAATACTATATTCTATGTGAACTACTGTACATTGTATCTGATTCTCTTTGTGCTATGCTATTTTTTTACTAATTGAAGATTATTTTTTTAGATTAGCTTTGTTAATGTTGTTTCATTCTTCCATTGAGTCTTATCCAGATCTTGGAAAGTCAGTCACTTGTTTTGTTGTTTTTTTTCTTTCCCTATTTTCCCTTTCAAGAAATAATTTCCTGCTGAAGTCAAAGGAGATTACAGATTTTGCACATTCATGATACTTTTGTTCACTACAGTGGTTTTCACTGCAGTCAGAAAGCAGTGAGGAACCACCTTGGAGCACTGGGATAGGCATGCTGATTAGAATTATTTTGAGAAGTTACTGGTTTTAAACATTCATATGTTTCCCCTCCCCCAGTATTAAACTCTCCTGACCAACTTACTGTTTGTAAAATAGAAATTATGTAAAAAATTAGTCATTATGTACCTTATTTTCCTACAGGACTTACAGATAATCAGTACAGATGAAAACCAGGTGTTTGTGGCTGTACAGGAGTGGTACCAGACAGACACATACAACCTGTACCAGTCTGACCCACAAGGTGTTTACTACTCCATCTTGCTGGAGAATGTCCGGAGCACAAAGCAGCCAGAAGAGAATGTCCTGATAGATATTCTGGAGGTATATCTTTTATATTTTCCATTATTTGTAGTCTGTGTGGAGGATTTTTTTTGAGTATAAATAATTTTAAGTGTTGCATTTTACATTCATATTTAAATAGAAAATCTAGGATTTCTGTCTTATTTGTAGACATTGCTACTACTTACATGTTTCCCTCTTGCCCTACTAATGTGTTGTGTACTCTAACTAGATTCTTGGGATGGGGTTCTATGGATGTGCAAATCCAATCTTGCTAAGTTTTTTTTTTTTTAGATATTGAAAAGTGAATCTGGCAGCACGATTTACTGTTGAAGTAAGAAGCTCTGCAGGTGTCTCTGTACAGCATCTTTTCTTCTAGGTGACTCAGTGGCATGTTTCCTGACTTAAGAGCAGGACATCTTTTAGCCAGTAGGGTTTTAAGTAGTAATCCTGCAAGCCTTGTGCTAGGTTTTGTCAATTCTGAAAGGCTAAGAGCCAACAAAATTAGATATTGGACAGCAAATCCACTTGCTTTCAGTATGTGTCTTGTGCCAACAGCATTTTCTATGAAACAAACTGGGCTGTAAACAAATCTATCTTGTATTTTAACATCAGTGCACTTGGCAAAATAAAAGGCTATAGTGTTTTGGAAGAGTATCACAGGTTGTTATCAATTCCATTCCTGTTTAGGGAATGGAATTTCAGTGCAATGAATTTCAATGTAATAAGGTGTACATTTGCTCTGGTTCTGTTCTTTCTGGCCATTATCAGAACATTTAAATGGCTTTGATCTGACTCAGTTTGTCCCATTACAAATAATTTGCCTAGTGTTAATTTAAAAAAAACTGCAAAACTTTAAAGGTGCACCAGATTTCTTTGGCTAAGGTTTGTAGTAATTCTGGATACAAGGCACACACTGACAGAACTGTTAAATGGCTGTAATTAGACTCTTCTTGGTGGGGGAAAATGATAGTGTTTTCTTCCTCCTTATCTCCTTCATCTTTCTTTAGCTTTTTCTTTCTAAATGGCTGTGGTAAAACAAAAAGGTCTCCCATTACCAGTGATTATTTTCTAGACTCTAGCTTTTTAGAAATGAGGCTTCCTAATGAGTGAAGCTACACATTGTGTGTAGCCACGTTCCCACAGGGTGATTTATTGACAGCATTAATTAGCAGCATTTTATTCTTGGGCACCCCTGTGACCAAGCAAAGCTAAAAGGCACTCAGGTGGTTTTTACTAAAAGGCAGTCAGGTGCAATCTCTACTCCTTGCATCACCTGTAGCACGTAATTTCAGATAAGTCGTACAAAGATGCTACCCCTGGCTATCCTTTTGTCTACAAGAATTATTAACTTAATTCAGTTACACTGATTGTTTCATAATTTCCCAATGTTACTGAGGGCATATTAGACAATACAATTGTAGTTTATTGTGTGCTGGATCAATCTGTAGGGTTACATTAAAAAGGAAATGTAAACATGATAAGGACAGTATACTTGAAAGGACAATACACATGGATCCATACAATTCAATTTTTTTAAGCTATTTTTGAAACTGAGTTGCTTTATAGGAGAGCACTGATGGCTTCTAGATAGCTTGTGTGATAAATAATTAGTGCTCATCTTGTTTACTAGAATGGGATCAAGTGCTCATAATGTGTGTGTCGTTTACTCAGTATAAAATTGCTAATAAATAAAACACATATTGCAGCCCTTGAGGATGAGGGTTGGTTTTTTTGTGGTTTTTTTTTTTTTTTTTTTTTTTTTGGTCTAATCTGGGTGAGGTTTTTTTTGGCATTTTAATGCAAGTATCCCATCTCAGGAAGGGATGTTTTAGTGCAGCACAGAGACAGTTCTCAGTGGTAGAAAATTTCTCTCTTTGCCAGTGTATAATTCTCCTTAGAATTTGTAGTGTTCATCTTTGTTATCTTCTTCTGACTCCACTTAACTTGTTACTTGTATATCTGCTATAAAATTTTTAATAGGTATCTGTCTGTCTGTATTAATTTTCTTTTATGTGCTTTATCTTTTTTTTTTTTTTGCACCATACTTCTTCTTATTTTGAACACGTAAAAGGGAACAATTTACAAATACTTGTATAAATAAGAGAAGAAAAAAAGAATTAAGTACTAAATGACTGTCCGAAAAGAGCATGCCCTTGAATTATGTGACAAGAAGCATATCTTTGAAATTGTATCAAGTAATGCCAGTGTGAAGGAGTCACACATTTGACACAGGCATATTTGCAGAACGGGCATACTAATGCAATACCTCTACATTGGTTCCTGCTGTGACTCCTTATGTAGATAAGAGCTACATGAATTGCAGTACACTTTCTTCATGCCTTTTTTCTCCAAAAAACAAACTGTATATATTTAAATTTTAGTCACAAACACAAATTATATAGCAGTCATTTCTACATTTCAGTAACTGCTGCTAATAAACACTGTGGGACCATCTGAACTGTGCTTCTTGCTACCAACTAAACAGAATATTGTTGGGATGGAGTATCAGAAATGTAACAAGGAACAATTAATAAGTCATAGCAGAAAGTCTCAGAAAATTTTATAAGGTACAAAGTGCTTTTCTAAGAGTACTGGGGAACAACTATTCCCTGAACTGTTTAAGAAAGTAGGTACTCTGAGAACTAAGCTCAAAGCTCAAAAAATTAGAAGAAAGGTGCTTTGAATTTCCTCATGTTGAGCTGTCTTGAGTGTCTCCTGCACTGTTCATTAGAGTAACTGAGCACTGCACAATGTTGAAATGTCTTTTTTTCCATAGAAACTTATCATTAATGTGAATCTTTTCCTTTATTGATAGAAAGAGACTTATCTTGCAATTTTAGATTAGGGAACTAAGTCAAGGAATAGAATGTACAGAAGAATTTGGGTGGCTTGGCGTCACAGTCTAATTCTGGAGATAGATTGGAGACACTTCATTTCCAGTATTTACAGAGTCAGGTGTGTATTTGTATAGGCCACAGGACAAATGAAATGGAAAATTCTATAGTAGGGATGGGATGTTTTAAATATGCCATTTTTTAACACACCATAATTTTGTGTTAGTTATAGGGTTTTAGGCTAATGCACCACTCTGAACATGATATTTCTGAACTTGCTCTGAAGATAGGTGCCTGAAACCTATTTATTATTTCAAGCAGGATTTATGCCTTTCATTCATTGTGCAACTACTGTGAAGTGCTGGTTGGCTTTTATCTTTTAAAGCAGCAGTGAGAGAAGTTAACTGAGACACTGGAAGGAATGTTTTCATAACCTTTCAATGTTTGATAGATTCAAATATTATTTCCCTTATTCTAGAAGTTACCCTGGAGCTTGGTTAGATTAGAAATGGGAGTGGGAATGGAGAAAAAATTTAGCCTGACTCCCATTTGATGATTATATGGAATTATTAAATATTCATTAAATGAGGGGGTGGGAAGGGGAAGTAGAGGAGAAACAAAAATAATCATGATGCAGCACTGGTTTTGCCATCCATAAATGCAGAGGGAAACCTCAGTTGCAGTCCCTGATCTAATTATTGTTTAAATATTTATTTATGTGTTCACTGGAAGGAAGACATGCACAGAAATTTTACCCCAAGTCTGCCTTCCCACGTAAATATTTGAACTGCCAGGCTTTTCGTGGCTGAGCTGTGTCTCGAAGGTAGACTATGTAAAAAATCCCCAGCAAGATTAAAATGCTTTGAAAGTAAAGAAAGCAGGTTCACAATTTCTTTTCTTCCTTTCCTTTTCTCACCTGCACTGCAAATAGATGACTTTTATGGTATATTTGAATTGGAGGTGGTTCTGATCTTCCAGCATCCTGGATAAATAACCCAACCACATATGCACAGGATTTAAGAAAGGAGGAGCTCATGAGAGAGTAGAGTATTTAAATGTTTATACAGATTTTTTCTTTATATAAACTTATATATATTTCCAAGTTCTAGGCTGTTACCACAACCAGCAGTGCATTCTTATTCTCTGTAGGTTTGGATCAGTTCCTTCCCATATTTACAAACAGTGAGTATCAAATCTGTAGCCTGGTGGTAGGGTTGCCTTCTTTTCCCCTTCAATGAAGACTTCTGCTAAATGAATGTTAAATTGAGTCAATAACTGGCAGTTGGAAAAAGAAAGGAACAGTAAATATTTCAAGTGAAAAAATAAAAGTTTAGAAGTGCATCATCTTCTGCAAGTAAATATTCCTGATCATCAGTCTTGTGCATTTATTTGTAATGAATGATTCAGTTTTGTTAAGAGTCAGCAGCCAAGGAGATGAGCAAGCTGTACTGTGCTGGAAATGTATATCAGTTTATATATGTTGTCCAGAATTTTTCAAAAATTCAGGAAGTCTCATAAATAATGGCAAGGGAACCAAGAGCACTCTTAAGGAAACCTTCACTTTTAATAGATGATCTCATCTCATGCCCATGGGTGGAATATACATTAATATGTTAATAATATAAATGTTAGGGCTAGAACTAAACATATTAAGGTATAATTACTGTCAGATTGCTTCTAAAATTATACTCACTAACTTTAACTCTTTGAGTTGTAGTAATTTTCTAATACAGGTTGTTTTGAAATAAAATGACAGCCCAAGAGAAGAGGGTCATTTGTTATTATTATTTTTTCTCCAGAGGTTAAACAGGTGAAGGGTGGCTAACTGGAGTGTGGAAGCATTTCAGATGCTTGAGAGGATGATTCAGTCCTCAGCGTGTCTCCCTCAGATGATCTGCCTATATTTATTTCCTGCAAAGGACAAGAGTGCTTCCCAAATCAGTGTAATGGGAAAAGATGTGATACTGTGTTATGTTATTGTAACCTATTTGTGTGATATTTATATGATATGGGCACAGAAATTCAGGTTTAAAGGTAGATGGTTGTTAAAAATGTCTTACATAATTTGTACAGTAGGATTTTAAAGATGTCCATATTTAAAGAAAATGCAAAAAGGAAATTTTATTGGTGAGGCCATGCTATCATAATTTTTATATTTTGCTATATAAAATATTATGTTTTTGTATATTAAACATGTAGCTTGATTAGCCTTCTGACATGGAGACAACTGCAAATCCTTTTTAATCCTTTGTCCTTGCCTTCCCCCTTTCTGCCTTTCCTCTTATATTTTTGCCTTCCTCATATTTTTTAAGGTATCATCCACTTTCCCTTCAGTTTCCAGGAGAAACTACCTGAGATACACTTTTCAGAGCCACAAAAGAGCAGCTAATCAGGGATAATCCTTGCTGAAAAAAATGTGTTTGTGCTGGATATTAACTGTTCTTCTCTATGCTTCAGGTCAGAGGTGTAAAAGGAGTCTTTTTGGCCAACCAGAAAATTGATGGGAAAGTCATGACTCTGATAACCTACAACAAAGGCCGTGACTGGGATTTTCTAAACCCTCCAGACGTCGATATGAATGGCAAACCCACCAACTGCAAGCCTGTAAGTGGCTCTTTTTGGAGCATCCTCCCTCTAAAATGTGCAAGAATTATCTGCATGGTAGGATGTGCAGTAGTTCCAGCAGCCCAAGAGCTTTGTGCTGAATTTACCAGCCAGACTAGCAGGCAAATGAGCTGTGCATGAGCCGTGGTTCCACAGGCTCTTAGTCCAGTTATCATGTAGAGGGAGTGTCAGGGCTTTGTGGTGCACAGCATTTCATATTTGAGATCACTTTGATGCAAAGAGGGCATATTTCTTCTTCTTCTTCATATGTCAACCACACAACCCAGTTCAAAATAAACATGGCAGTCATTTGTGCCTGGATATATGGGGCACATCATAAGTCAAACAGAGATTACGAATAATTTTTCTCTTTCCATCTCTTCATATTTTTCTTTCATAAAAAAAAAAAATATACAAGGTAACTCTTGATTCCCTGTTAAAGGGAACTCCTGAAAGTTGCTTGAAAATAAATACCATGGCAACTTGCATAAAATATTCCTTTCTTTTTGTAAGATTATACTGTTTCTGTTTGTTTAGATGCCCCAAGTTCCCATAGTATTTTGTTATTTATAAGGCTGTGCTGAAAACCTTGTATTTTTCTCACTGACTCTCTGCACCTGGGGACTCAAAGCTCTGCATTGGTGAGCAAAATAAATGCTTGCAGTCCTGCCACTGCCAGAGCTTTGCTCCCTCTCTGCCTGGCAGAAGTGAAGGGCTGGAGCAGCAGGTTCCCTTCTGAAGAGTTCCGGGCTGTGCTGCAAGGCTCCAGCCTGCAGGGTGTGGTGCAGATCGATGGGAGATGAGTGGGACAGTGACAGTGGCAGTGGCAGTGACAGTGGCAGTGGCAGTGGCAGCAGCTCCCAGGCAGTGCTGGCAGCTGGCCCCTGGTAAAGCCCCTGGGCACATTGCTGTGAACAATATGACCTTTGAGTGCACTGCACAAAGGCCAAGAAGCAGTAAATTGCTTCTTGATGTGTACTAAAGTCATTATGTTATTTTTCATACCACTTTTTTAATAATAAAGACATTTCAGCCCAAACAATTGTTTTTAATAATAATTTTACCATTTACCTGGGACCAACAAACATTGTTGCTGTTAGTCAACATTTTTAAGCAATTATTCTGTCAGAAGGGGGTTTATATAATAATGCTGACTTCCTTGAGTTTGGAAATCTTTTTGTTGAGACAGTGGCACACTATGCAGATATCACCAGAGATTCTTGATACAAAGTGAAGACTGATACTTCAGACTGGAATTTAGCTCCATGGGAAGCAGCAATTCTTTTTCTTTATGAAGACATACATTGCTGAAGCTGCTTTCCGTCTGGGCTTTCTTTTATTGTAGGAGCATAACTGGTAGCAGTGATTTTTAAAACCTGTTCTCTGCTTCTTCCCCCACAAGCCTGATTGTCACCTCCACCTCCATCTGCGGTGGGCAGACAATCCCTACGTGTCAGGCACAGTGCACACCAAGGACACTGCACCAGGGCTCATCATGGGGGCAGGTAAGTGCATGGCACTGCTTTTTAAGACCTGAAATGTGGCAGGGGTTATTTGTAGATCTAGCCTTTGGAATTGTAAGAATACCATGCTGCAAACATTGCCAAAATAGGGCTTTCCTGTAGAATAATCCTTTATGATCAAACAATTCAATATATAAGTTAGTGAAAAGCCCAGAGTTGTGTCTTCCCAGACAGATCTCTATCAGTCACCTGGTTACATCATGCTCTGCTCTGCTGTGCAGTACCTCCTTCCCCATTAATGCACTGTGGTGGTGTGATGGTGGCTGAAGGACACGTCCTGCATTCTTTTTCTCTGGAAGTGTCGTGTAGGCCCTCCAGCATCATGAATAACACAGGAAAACTAATGGAAACAGTGGTCAATCCTTTGTTCTTTAAGCCTGGATACAGATATAATTTGTCTTGTAATTTTTATTAATTCCTTTCTGCCTAAAGAGAGAGGAATTGAAAGAAGCAAATGTGTCACTGTACTGGGAACAATGCTGGTTGTGGCTTCTCCATTATAACTTACATATGGAGTTATGTCAGTATGAAATGGAATTTAATAAAGGAAATTCCATTCCATTCCATTCTCATAAAGAAAAATATTCATATAACTTTACAGTTTTGCTTTGTATCTTTGTTATCCATCTATTAATTTTATTTAATCTTCTGTTTCTTTTTTTCAAAATTGTCTAAATTGTTCAAAATTGTCTAAATGTTAACAATGCTATGAGCTTTTTAAAATTATTTTATTTTATTCTTACGTTATGAATAATGTTTAGGTGAAATGTACACATGTAGGCTTTTCATAAAAGTACATCTGTTTTCAATGAATTATGGCTTCTACTTTATCTTACACTAGTGTCTGACAAACAGTTTATTAAGTTGAAAGTTTCCTGAGAATGTCAAGGTGAGAATATTTGGTGTTTAAAGAGAATGATAGCTGCCAGTACTGGTAATTTTCAATATAACTGAAGATTTCAAGTTCTTCTGTAATTTAAAGGGAGGTCAAAGTATTTTACTGGAGACAGATCTACCTGATGAAATGCTGTGTTTTTATTGGTACAAATGAGACTAAGAATTTATGCAATGCCCTTTTAGATGGATTCCTAATATGTGTTCAGGCCAAACTTTATTGATTTAAATGTTAAAAAAATATCTTCCATTTCAAATGTCTTCTTTTTTCATGAAAGCGCTCAAAATGTAGGGTCTTAATTTTAGCCTCATCATGTCATGCTTAAATGCCTTCCAGTAGCAAATTAATCAGTGAGATTTAATTATTCCATTATTCCTATTGCATTTTTCTTTCCCTTTGCACTGTAATCTGATGTGTTGAACATATATTTGTTGAGATGTTGGGTTGTTTTCTTTTGTTTGGGGTTTGTAGATGTTTTTTAAGTGCACTGTTCTCCCAGACCACATTAGGGAGGGCAGGTTGTAGAAGAGTATTTTGCCCTTAATTCCCTTCTAGAATGGGGTGACATTTTATCACTGTGACATGGTCTTACTCTGACAGGTAGAGAACTTGTCAACAGCTTTCCTCAATGTGATCAGGAGGGAATGGTTTTGATAACATCCTGATATCATGAAGAACTGAACTAATATGTCAAATTTGACTTGCTTGTGGAGCAAACAGTAATGTAGTGGGAATGGTGGAAGGCACCCTTGCTCAGTTGCAAGCCACCTTGGTGTTATCTACCTAAAAATCTGAGTGCAAGAGAGTGCAGTGTGTCCTTTCTGGTAGAAGAAAAGCTTCTGTAGCTGAAAACAGAGCAAAGGGGGGATATATTTTGGAGCCTTAAAAATACTATAGAGCAACTGCATCCCCTTGCCAAAAGATGACCTGAATCAACTCTGATTTTGACTTGCATTTACATTATTTGGATGCCCAGGTCATCTGGATTCAGTGCATGTGTTCAGTCTTATCTGGCAAACCTGATACCCTTGTAAACTTACACTTCTTATCAGAAATACTTTACATAGAGTGAGCTTGAATTTCCTTTGGCCTGATCCTTGAACTGATAATCCTATATGAATCAACATAAGTATGAGGTTCTTAGTAGATCCAAGAATCAGATTATTTGGGCCACATCACACACTATTGGAATTTTACTGTTAGATTTAGAGAGAGCAAATCTTCTGGAAATGACTGAAGATGATAAGATCCGTGAATGTCAGTTGATCACAGCGTGTCTCCAAATCATCAGTGCCTTGTGTTGTAAAAAGCAAAATTATTCTTGGTGTGAAATAGGTAAATAATTGCCAACAGAGAGAGAGAATTATTAATACTCTGGCAAAATAGTGTACAATGACATTACTAATATAACTGTGCACAATTCTGGTAATCAATTTTCAGGATCAGTGAGCAGGTGCTGAGAAGGCCTCTTTGGCAGTTGATGGAAATAGAGAATATTTACAAGAAAACCCCCTTTAGCTGAAAAACTAAAGGACAATAAAGAATATGATTTATTTTTTCCTGGAAGTGTAACCATGGAGTAGAAATGAGTGATGCAAGCAAGTGGATAAGAACTGGAAATATGGTTCCTAAGCATAAGAACCCTATCAATCAAAAAGCAGGAAAAAAAAACCCTTTAAAAATGAATTTTGGCTTCTTTCTAGGAAGCTTATACAACACAGCTGCTTTTGGTAATGGAAGAACTATTCTGTGACTTAAGTACAGTTTTGATATGGAAAATTCTGGAAAGATCAGAGACTACTGAATATTGTTTTAATTTTAAAAAGGGAATAATTAACTGGTGAACTGCATTAACACCTAGAAAATTGGGAAAATTTCATATCTTTAATAAAATGTTAAAATTGCATCTTTTTAAACTCATGTTTACAAATAAAAATACCACTCTGTTAAACTTGCATAAATAGTTCTCAGGAATTCATATTTTTAGCTTATATCTATATATAAATTGTTCAGACAGAATATTAAATTTTGTAGCTGCATATGAAAGTGGTATTTTAAATAACTGCTTTGCTCTCTTTAAGAAATGCAATAGGATTTTGCATTTACATTTGATTTTTGTACATTTTAATCTTGGCAACAACTTCTATTTCTCACAGCATCAGCTATGAAATGTGTGTCAATTGATGTGTAAATTTTTACTATAAACTTGCTAAGGACTTTTCTATGAAAAATGTTTAGAGAAGTGTAGCTTTTTCAGGTGCTAGTTTACAATAATTGCCTGCTTAGCTTCCAATCCAGATGGCAAATCAAGCAAGCAGTAAATTCTGTACTTTTACACAAATTGAGGGAGTGCTGGAAAAGTTCTATTTACTTTTTGTCATATAAGGGCCAAATATAATTGCATACATTGTGATGAATTTCTATCATTTTTTACAGAAGTAGCATACTAGGATGTCTCTATCAAAAAAGGATCAGGGAACAGGGAGATGATTGAGTATTTCTGAGTACATTTTGGAGTGAACATCCTAAAATTCCTTTACATTGTTATTATGTTCCTCTATTCTGGTTCCCCACTTCCTCATCTGAACACATCTTCAGCTTGCCAGGCAAAACTGCGTGTCTGGGAGATTTAAATACAAATTGGTTGGATGTTCTATACTGTGACTACAAGATTGCAAACCATGAAATTTTAACATATTGTGCATGGCCCAAAGGTATGTTACAACTGTATTAATTACCAGTAATCCAGGCAAGGCACATCTCTTTTTTTGGAGTAGGTGTCTGCCTGTATGCTAAATTTAAGTGATTGGAAAAGATTTTCCATATTAGAAGGATTATCTAAGCATTGCATATGGACATTATTCCTTCTTACTGTAAACATGTCCAAAGTCACATATAAAACTATGGTAAACACAGCAATAACTAGCACTTAAAACATGTAAATGGATGGTAAATTTTAAATTAAGTAATCTCCCATATTTTTTGTGACCCAGTAAGAACCTGGAGCTGTATTGAGAGCTGTGTTTTTCACAGCTATACCACCTTTCCAGAGAACTTTGCTGGCCACCGGACATCACTGAACATTGCTTTCTTTTACATCCCTGTGCTACCAGCTGCTAAACTGTCAAATGCAGAGTTACATAAGGCTTGGAAAAAAGCTGTGTTAGTGCCTCTTTATTGTAGTTATTGGTACTACCACCCCTGCAAAGATGAAACACACGATTTTATGCAGTTACTTTAAATCAGCCTTGACTCAGGACAAGTGGAAAAGAAAAAGATTTCATGTACCCCAAAACACAGTTTGAAAAGGTTTCTAAGAATGCAAGTAACGGAAATGAAAAATCAATATTCTTAATTAAAAACTGAAAAAGGCAGGCCAAAATGGGGTTTTTTGCTTTCTGAAGAGGAGCAGTGTCAGAACATAACAGCAGAGCAAACTGACTCAGGCAGAGTCAATCTAGCATAGTATCCTGGCTGTGTTGGTGGCAAAACCCTTTGGGAGAGTGTTTAAGGACAATTCAGGTGTATATGATTTCCCAGGCATTGAGAAGACACACAAATGAGTAATTTAGTTACAAATAGAATACAGAATATTGTAAGGCAAATTTGAGAAATTTCTGTATTACAAACAAAACTTGCTGAAACTGGATGGCAAACACTCTGTGTCATGTGTCAGAGGAGTTTTCAGGGCACTCAGATCAGAAGTTATGTTAGAATAGTAACATTTGTAGCTGTGACTAATATAGCTTTGGCATGGTTAAAGTCCAGCCAGCAACTAAGCATCACACAGCCCCTTGCTTACTTCCCCTCCAGAAGGAAAGAGAGGAGGGAATTGGGAGGGTAAAAGTGAGGAAACTCATGGATTGAGATAAGAGCAGCTTAAATAACTGAAATAAATAATAATAAATTGAAATGAAAAGAAAAAGGAGAGAGACAGATGAAATGCAAGAAAAAGAAGTGATATAAATGAAAACAGCTGCTCACCTCCAACCACCTGGTGCCCAGCCTGTCCCTGAGCAATGCCCCTGCACCAACTTCTCCCCCAGTTTGAGCTGAACATGCTGACACGTGGCCTGGAATATCCCCAGGTCAGCTGGGGTAATTTGTCCTAGCTGTGCCCATTTCCAATTCCTTGTGCCCCCCTCTCTCCTCACCGGTGGAGTGGGCTGAGGAGCAGAAAAGGCCTTGACTCTGTAAGCACTGCCCAGCAGTACTGAAAACATCTTTGTATTGTCATCAACACCCTTCTCAGTACAGGTCCAAAACACAGCCCTGTACCAGGTGCTGTGAAGAAAATTAACTCTGCCCCAACACAGAACAGCACATGCCGGCAGCTGATTACCCATTCCAGTTGCAGTTACTTTTTCAGTATGAACCTGAGTTTCCTTCAGTGTATTAGATTACATTTACTTGTTCCCCCCAAGATGGATTTTGTGATCTAACACAGACCCACTAACAAGATAGAAAAGTTTCTGTGCTGTAGTGGCACACCTGAGGAGTTGCTGGAGATATTCACAGCTGTAATAAGAAGCAGAGATTTTGGTGTGTCCCACCAAGAAAAGTAGCACACTGATATTTGGGGGTGTGGTACAGTCCAAACACTTCAAGACATGATGGGAATGGTACTTAAACATTGCTGGCTTCCACTCTTGGGCTGGGCATAATTGTTTCTTTCTCACCTTCTTGTGTCACTTGGTCACAATGTCACATGTTACTGGGTGCCGCACTTACCACAAATATGTTTTATAAGTATCCTCAGATATGTCATGGAAAGGTTCAGAATTTCTCAGTTCTACTGAGCTAGCTGCTGTGGCTTTGCAGTTGTTTGTTTGCAGTGTTATTAATGTCAGGATTGTTTTGCATTTCATTTGATGTGAATTACAAGCAGCTGTTGCAAAGGGGTTTATGGGGTGCCATTACAAGCACTGTGTTGAGTTTGCTGGTTTATCCAGTAACACAACACACTGCAAGGTAGCTAGAGCCTAAAATTATGTACTTTATTTTAAATCTCAAAAAGAACAAAATGCTCCAGATCTTTGAAGTTATTTTTTATAAGCATATTGAAAAATAAAATTAAAACAATGTAACTTTTTAACTAGAGAAAACTCATAACTCTTGTGTCACACATGTTAAATAGAAGGGCTTGCTAATAAAAGTGGGGGGAGTTCACTTGGATCTTTGAAGGACTTGGTTTTATTCCAGTTCTACTTTTTCAGGCTAACAGCTGAAAGTGGCTTTTCTGTGGCTTTTGAATCTTACACATCACTATCTGTTCCTGTGGAACTTCCTTCTGTCTTTCACATGTCAGGTTTGGCTGCATGGGTGCTTCCCACTGCACTTTGCAGGAGCCTGCCTTTCTCCCCTGGTGCTGCAGCTTTCCTTCTTTTAGTCTTGCCTGCTTTTTCTTTCTTAATCCACTGACGCTCTTTTTCAGCAGGCCATGGGCTGTGGTACGCACAGAGCAAACTCCAACTGCACTGAGAAGTTTTATCCTTCCTTACAGAAAAGTGGGATTTTGGGTTTTTTTTCCTGCTTGAAGACTTAATTTTACAAAGTTTGCAAAATTATATTATATCATTGTATGTCCCAAAAAAATCTAGAAGTAGTGAAAATTACAGCCTTCATTAATGACACAATTAAACATTGTGTCAACAATCAGCAGGTCCTGCATGCAGCACTTCTGGGCTTCAACCCTTGGCCCATGGATGGATTGTTTTCAAAGGTCAAAATCACTGAAGTCCTTTTTTCTCAAAGCAGTGTCCCAGATTCTATTCCTGTTGGCATCAGTTGTGGTTTAGGCAGGATGAAAAGGAATTATAACTGAGCCCATCAGCTCCTTTTTGCTCTTTTACTAAGAAAAGACAGTAAAGGTAAAATCAGAACTAGGAGAAGTCATGTCTGTCTTTTAACAGAGCTGCAAGTACAGTGCTGTTGCTAATATCATTACTAACTCAGCTGGATAGAAAAGGTTTTTAATGAAGCACAAGTAGATGCTGTTTAGTTTACAGACTAATTTTCCATTAGCAAGGCAATTTACCACTGAATTTTTTAAAGTGCAGATCCCTAGCAATGCTCAAAATAAAGACCTACTCAGGCAAGTAGAATTCAGTAAGTAGTGAAAAGAGGTAGAATAAACAGCATTTATACAGGAGTAAAACTAACACTGCATTCATTAAAGTTATCTGTGTAAAGAAGAGTGTAGACTGACAGCAGTATGTTAGATTCTAGCAAGCAAATAAGTATTTCTGTTTTCAGCTGTCCTACAGAGCACATTCTGTGATTAACTTCAGTAGCACAAGGATATATCCATTTACATGTGATAGAGCAGTGAAAAGTATAACAGAGGGAAGTAAGAATAGCAAAAGAAAAATATTTTGTATATGCAATTTATCAAATCTTCCTTCCCTTCCTTCAGCCCTGAGAAGGTGATTTCTCATTCATATCTCCTTCTAGTGATCAGATTAATCTTAAAGCTGTATTTGGGGAGAAAATATAACTGAATTAAGGTGTGAAGCTTTCCTTTTGGAACTATTTCATTTGGTTATATTTATGGGAGTCTAGGTTACATATCAGGAAAAGGTTTTTCATCCAGAGGGTGATTGAGCTTTGGAACAGGCTCCCCAGGGAAAGATCACAGCATCAAGCCTGCATGAGTTCAAGAAGCATTTGGACAAGGCTCTCAGGCACATGGTGTGGTTCTTGGGGTGTCCTGTGCAGGGCCAGGAGTTGGATTCAATGATTTTGATGTGTCCCTTCCAACTCAACATATTCTATGACTAGATAAATCTTTGCTGAATTATTGATAAATGTGTAGTGTGTTGGAAAGATGAAAACCAAAGAAAAGTCCAAGAATGGGAAGTGGCATCTTCTGAATTGTTAGATGCAATTTAAAGGAATTAACTGACTCCTATGAATTCCCTGATTCAATATAAGTATTCCAATTCTGTCCAGGATATATTTAGGGTTAAAAGATGTAGAGTTATCCTGTTAAAGAGTGGAGCACAGACTCCCTTGCTGGTATGAATAGAGTGTATTTTGGGCAGTAGGCACTGTTGTTCTCTTGGGAACCTTTCAGCACCAGTAAGCACACTCTGAATAAACTGATCTGGTTTAGTGGTTAAAAACCAGCTAGTCATAGAACACACAAGTGAAATTTCGTAGTGCTAATCTAATCTCAAGTGTTTTCTTTCATCGTCTCTTCTGCTTAAGAGGATCTGATAATTTTCATCTTATTTCTACTGTGAAAACATGAAAATCATATATTTAAGTCAAAATCCCCAGGAGGATATAATTTAGAGGGAATATTGTGCCATGAATGATTCTCCCCTAGAACACTAAACTGCCTGGTGGTTTAATAATTGCCTATTTGAAGTACTGCATGCTAAAAGATGGAGATCTCTGTATTTGGGACTGCATCTGCTATCATCTTCCCCAAGTTTAACACTTCTGTTAGCTTTGAATTCAGTTAACTGAATTCTCCTCAGTGCTATTTGTCAATATATTCAGCAGCTTTCTGCTTAATATTTAGGTAAATCAAATAATTCTGCTTTCAATTCTTTTGTATTGACTCTTTTTCAAAAGACCCGTCCTCTCTTGTTGTGTTGCATATTTCACCTGATTCTAGTCTAGCTACCACTCCATCAAGTTTTAAAGATAAAATATTTCATTTTAACAGTTTGAGTTCAATGTGAATAACTTTACAGAATATGATTATGGTTAAAACTTCTGAGTTTATGATGTTTCATACTTACATCTTAAATACGTGTTATTTCATAATAAATTTTCAGCATGCAGCAACAAAACTAAAATGTTGCTCTGACTTCTGCATTTGTGTATTAGAATCAAGCCTCATTGCTTCCACCTATGGACAACCTAGCAATGGAAAGGAAGACTTTGAAATTGTACATATACATTTTAAAGGATTTTGCTGGTTCTACCAGAAATGAAGTAAGCTTGTTCAATTGTGTTTAGTTCTTGCTCTGACCTGGAAACTTCTTACTCAGACTGGCATCAGGACTAGATACCATCTCTCTTGCTCATGTGGATCCTTGTTTTCTCCTCTTTTGTGACAGGTAACCTGGGGTCCCAGCTGGTTGAGTATAAAGAAGAGATGTACATAACATCTGACTGTGGGAACACGTGGCGTCAGGTAGGAGGCATAAATCATCAAAGGAAACTGGAAATAATTTAAATGTACCAAATGTGATGAATTATGTAATGCTTAACTAATCTTTAGAAACTCTTTTGAAGGAGGTGGTATTATTATCTCCAGTTTGCTTGGGAACTAAGAGATTAAGAAGGTGATTTTCTAAGACTCAAATAGATCAGGCTGTCAGGTTCTCCTGAAGTTCAAATATTTTGGTCTCTTTAAAGATCCTGTAAGTATCTTATGCAAAAAAACATAGTGCCTGTTTAGTTTTTTAATAATTTAATCTTCCTATGCTAATGATGAAGTGGACTTGGAGATCTTGCAGTACAAACATTCTGGGTTAAAACACATAGGTACAAGGGCAAAAATTCTTCTGCTTCATGGTCTGAAAACTGTTACTAAAACATAAACTTTTTTTTCATTGAAAGTGAAAAGAGATTGCAAAAAATAATAAAATTTTTAAAGTCTTTTGGCATGATTTGATAAAATCAGGGACTACAAATACCAACATATTAAAAAGGGAACAGTAATATTGTAATGCTGTTTGAATTCTGGATGGCTTTTTCTTCAACTGACTAGTTTCAGTTAAAGCTTTCACCTTTCTCATGTATCGTTTCCTAAGCTGCTCTGTCTCAGTGTGGTGGGTTTGCCCTGGCTTGATGCCAGGTGCCCACCAATCTCTCTCTGTCACTGCTCTCCTCAGCTGGACAGAAGAGGGAGAATATAGCAAAAAAGCTCATGGGTTGAGATAAGAACAGGGAGAAATTGGTCACCAATTACCATCACAGGCAAAACAGACCTGACTTGGGCAATATTTATTTGATTGCCAGTTAATAACAGAGTAGGATAGTGAGAAATTAATTCAGTTCTTACAACAGCTTCTCCTTACCTCTCCCTTCATCATGGGTTCAGCTTTACTCATTAATTCTCTACCTCCTCACCCTGAGCCACACAGGGGGGTGTGGAATGAGGGCTGTGGTCAGTTCAATACACGTATCTCTGTGTCTTGGTTTTAAAAGACAGAAGTCTGTGAAAGAAGGCAAAATCTCCTGTGAAATGGAAAAGGTAAAACCCCTCCCTCCAAATTACCACAATTTCAAAATTAAAAGGCTCTCAGGCAAAGATATGGGAATGGGAATAACAGTACTTTACTAGGAGAAAAACTAAATAAAAATAATAATAAAGAAAAAATGTAATTAGTACAAACAGAACTAGTGATGGAGTCAGAAACCTGACACCCTGAGGCGTCAGGCTGTTGGTAATAGTCCGGTTAAATGGTGGCTGTTCCTCCTGGAGTGGCAGATGAAATGCTGCTGAAGTGGTGATCTCTAGAAGGGTGTAGTTTTCTCTGAAGGTCTGGTAGTAGATGGGCCTGGTCTTCCTCTAGGAATCCAGTGAAGAAAGCTGCTTCTCTGGGAATCCAGCAGAGAGCTGCTCTGGTGTCCCAAAAAATGATGATTTTATGCAGGTAGGAATGCTTGGCTCCTCCCTCTGGGTGGAGCATCTCAGAATTGGATGATGTAACTTTACCAGTCATGCAGTGAGTCATTCAATGGCTCATTAACAGAAGATATCTCCCTGGAGGGAGACATTGTTCTTGGAAGAGATAAGAAAACTGCCCAACCTCCAACAGATGGCAATAGAATACATGCTTATCTTACAAGCCAGGACACTCTGCTGCTCTTTCCTCCTCACAGGAAGGATTCCTCACACCCATCCCCTGCTGCAGTGTGGGGTCCCTCTCACAGGAGACATCTTTCAGTGAACTTCTCCAACATGAGTCCTTTCATGGGCTGTAGTTCCCCAGGAGTTCTCCAGAGCAGGTGCTTCCCATGCACTGCAGCCCATCAGGAACAGGTTGCTCCAGCTTGGGTCCCCTGTGGGAGCATAAGTCCTACCAGCAAACCTTCTCCAACATTGGCTTCCTATGGAGTCACAGCCTCCTTCAGGCTGCACTGTGGGGTCCTCCATGGGCTGCAGGTGGATCTCTGCTCCATCCTGGACCTCCGTGGGCTGCTGGGCCACAGCTGCCTCACCATGGGCTGCTCGAGGGGCTGCAGGGGAACCTCTGCTCTGGCACTCGGAGCACCTCCTGCCCCTCCTTCTGCACTGACCTTGGTGTCTGCAGGGCTGCTCCCCAGGATAAAAAACAGCATCCTCAAAGGACCAAAGTGTTTTCAAAAATTAATTTGATTTCAGTTAAAATAGTGTTGTAGTGTTCAGCTGAAATAAAATTTTGTTATTTTCTTAGATCCATTAAGTGTGAAAATGTTCTCCATACTGTTACTGAGCTTGGGGAATTTGATGTTAAAAGAGAAAAATGCAGACAGTTTCTTATATTGCTATGGTAGGATTCCATTAGTACTCCACAGAGTACTTTAAAAAGAAATGTGTTATTTTTGTAATGATAATGTCCTTTGATGTTTAAAAGATAAAATTTTATACCAAATTCCATCTTGAACTCTAGCATACAATAAATAGGTGTTTAAATGCAAAAGCCTTCCAGAATCTACAGTGGGTACTGTGTTGTTTAATACTTCTTAGAGGCCTCTCATAATTTCTTGTCAGCATTTGCCAAAGTTTTATAGTTTTTCTGGGGTGAAAAATAAGAAGAAAAGAGGAATGAGATCAAATTCATGTTTTCACTGCTTTTTATTTGTAGAGACACACAGGTAAATGATATGTGTTGCAACTTGACCCTAAGGTGCCTAATTATGCTGTAAAATCAACCACAAACTGATCCCTCATTGTGATAATCAAAATGGCAAACAACATTGCTAGCTTCATTTTAATTGAAACTCCTTTGAAGCCCTTGAAAGAGATTTCTGAATTCTAATATCTGTGATCAGAACAAGACTGTAGATGATCTTATGTATTTCATGGCCTCACTGTGCACAATTAAACAATTGTTCCAGAGGACAGCAGCCCATTTCCTTTCTCTGCTGGAGTTCTTACAACAAAAGAGAAGGCTTCAATCAGGTGATACAGGAATTTAGATAATTCAGTAAATTGCAGGTCTTGTGAGCTGCTGAAACCCCATGCTTTGGCACAACACTTTGTCTGAGTTTAAATCTGCTTTAGAGACTTTGTGATTGTCATTAGTGAGGGTTTGGAACTTTTCTCACAAGCTCACATGATGTTGCTGAGCTGTGTACAAAGGAGAAGAGGAGCAGTCTGTGCTTGAGTATAGAGACAGAGAATGAGAAAAGCAAACATAAGAGACTTAGGGGAAAATGTAGTACAAGGAATTAATTAAACCTATCTTGACATAATAGCAGTATTAGTTCATAGGCCTCTGGATTATAGGACTGTGGAGAAGGTCAAAGATCCTGTAATTCAATGGTGTCCTCTGAGATAGCACCAAACCTTCCATAGCTTGCATTTGATGTGGTCATATAAGGGTTCAGGGAGACTTACCTATAAACACCAGAGGGTTTTTTTACCTATAAAGAGTTCTTTACCTATAAAGCCAGAGTTCATAGACAGAAATGAATGCTTAAATAAGAGGTTTGGAAATTCAGTAAGTTCTGGTGATAAATAGAAATATCCAGGTAAAAAATCAGAAGGTTGGTGAGGAGGACTGTAAACACAGTCAAAGTGATGTGCAGGTGTCAAAATCCACATATATCATACTATTAATTTTTTGGCCCTCTGTGTTGGAGAAGTCAAACATTTGTGTTTAGATAACACAAGCCTATGATAGAGGCACAGTATCAAACATGCTTGAGATCCCTGCCCTGCTGCTTCAAAGACCAAAGTAGAGTGGTAAATTACACCTGTGCAAACCCCTGGGCTGCATTATCCTCCAGCATGGACTGAGCTCTGCACTGTCTGCATTCCCACTTGTATGTCTCTGCCCAGGTGCTGCTTCAGGGCTGCCCTGCTTGCCCAGGTAATGAGAATAAATTTGCATTTCATCTGTGGTTTTGTGGTTGTTCCTGCATCCTGCCTGTGTCAGCTCACACAAAAAGCAAAACCAAGAAATGTTATTATAAATAACCACAATATCACTTGTGCAGGTTTCAGTTGTTCTTCTGCCTTTCTGTTGCATGACTGAGCTTGTTGGTATACCTTGAAACCATCACTCTTTGTTTGAGGAAAACTGAAAATTGTGGCTATGCACTGTAAATAGCAGTGCTTTAGGAGCTCTTTGGAAAGCACCTGAAACATCCACACCATGAACTGGACTGTAGAAGAAAGGAATCTCACCTTGACATTATCATGAAATATGTGGGCTTAGAATCATAGAATCATTAAAGTTAGAAAATACACTTAAGGTCACTAAGTCCAACCATTAACTTAAGTGCCAAGTGGATCATGAAGATGCAGCCTAAGGTGAACTCATGTTTATTTTAAAGATTTCTCTGTCTATTATACCAGGAAAACAATATAATAAAATGGGTTAATGAACATGAAATATTAGGATACTCTTAAGTGCTAAGGATTACCTTATGTATACATGTGAGTGTTTTTATTTTTTTTTAATACTGATTTCTGTCCACAATTCTGGTTGCAGTTGTTATTTCAACAGCATCTGTTACAACACTGTACTTGAAATACAGCAAAGTATTTATACGGCAAAGAGCAAGAGAAAGGTCTGGATTTCAAAAAAAAATGGCATAAATAAAAGGAAAAAGTCAGCAATAATAAACCTTTCACATTTGATCTGCTACCAGAGTAGCTCTTGCAGCAACAAAATGTTCAGTTAAACTAATGAGGTTACACAGAAAGCCTTTTTGGATGTCTAGGAACTAAATCTAGATCTCTGGAGCTTTCGTCTGGTGGGTTTTTTTGTTAGAATATTATTTATCTGTGTCAAATCCTTGTGTATCAAAGCAACTTGGAAAACCGTTGGCTAAGTGAGAATACATGTTTTCCTGCAGGCATCTTAGGAGATAGATAGTAACACTTCTAAACACAACAAAAAAGGATGTAATCCCAGCCTTTCAACCCTGAGAAGGTCTAACTGGCTCATTCTGTGTAGAAAAGCTTCTGTTTCCAGATTTAAATTTAGCAATGGATATCACTTGATGAAAGAAAAAAGTAATCTCAAGAATTTTTTATTCTTGTAAGTTCTGTATTGTGAAGTAAAATTGTATGGCATATATTTCTCTAGGACCACTTAAATATGCTCTCACTGATTTCATGGAGCTGTCCCAGTTTCTTCCAAAAGATATGCTGGCCTGAAATAGCTGCTGAAGTGTTAGGATAGACATAGGAAGAAAAGGATTTAGAGAAGAAGCAAGAGGATAGAATAAAAGCTGATATTGTGATTGTAAAGCACAAAACATGCACAAAAAATAACATAAATAGATTATAAAAATCTTATTCTCTAGTGGCTGGCTACTAGTAAGGATCAGAATAGATTTATTGCCTGCTTTAGTTAGTGTAGAGATGAATATCAGAATTCGTGGCCTACTGTGAACTCACATATCTCATCTTCATAGGCCTGAACTTCATCTCTCACACTGGGACCACCTTTGCCTCGATCCTTTGCAAACTGTTTGTCTTGGGCTTTTTTTAGAGATAAATATTTACTTTTGTGATGAACAGGCATGAAACTGTTCATTCATTTCAATGTATTGAAGATTAAGGATTTTGTTTATAAAAAGTTTGAAGTGTGTGCAAGAAGAGCATGAAACAACAGCAGCATTAATATGCCTGTAATGTGTCCTCTGTGCTTTAGAGTGTGCTAAAGCAGGGTTATTAAAATGCTGTGTGAAGACCCACCATGCTGCTTTTCTGGGAAAGGCTGATTTGCATAAAGTGGTGCAGGTATCAGCTCCTTTATCTTCCCTGCTGAAGCTATGGGAGACTTGGTGTCCCAGCACATCCTGTTGCATTTTGGTTTGAGGGAAAGTTCAAACAAAGTTTAGAGGAGGATCAAACTCTGCTTGCTTATCTGACTCCAGCTGATCTCATCCTTTTGAAGTGCATCGAAAATTAATGACTGTCCTTTACTGAATTCTCTTCTAAAATATGCAGCTGGGGGAATGAGTAGGTCAGACTATCAATGCCTCATATCAAAAGTTTTGCCTGTAAATTGGCAACTTCTGATCAAAAACTAATCAGACACTTTAAGCCCTAGGATTCACATAAAATATGTTCTTCCTAGGTGAGAGGAAGACTGAGTTCTCAACCCAAATAAAATGCTTCCTATTTTTGAAGTAATTGTGAGTGTGCTGTAAGATATTTTCATCCCAGCTCCGGCTCAGTCCTTCTGAGAAATCCTCTAAATGTAGCATTTTGTTTTGCCAAAAAAAGAAAATAATTCAGTATTGTCCGTATTTTTTTTTATTTACAAGGCAAAGTAAAGCTAACCTTTATTGTTTTCACCTTTGCTTTGTCAAAGCATATGGGAGACTGCATGTTTGTCTATAAGTGCTCAGTGTGTATAATTCTCATATATTGCTTGGCTTTATGTTAAATGAACTTACAGGGGTTAATAACAAAAGTAAATGCTGTCTTAAAACAGATTTTAGATGTAAAACAGGAAAGGTATCTATCTGTGCTTTTATTTTAGCACTGCTGATAACATCTAGAAAAGGATTTAAAATAATTTATGAAATTTTAATCCTTTATACCATTAAATCAATATTACATGTATCTTGGTTCCAAACTCACAGTGGTCTCCATGGGACATCACATAATATTTGAACTTAAGCTCACTGACACTGGAAATGTGGAAAACATGCTTGCACCAATTATTCACATTCTGTACGTTCTGGGGAATATTTAAGAAAGTCAAAAACAGCAGTGCTTTTCCTTTTTTTCTTGCAGTTAGACCACAAAGCATTTTATTTTGCAGGATACACAGAATATGGCAAACACCGAAGTAAGGTGATGGGTCACTTGGTGATATATAACAGGAAGGAAGGCAGAATGCATACTATGAGAAATATAAGCTTGGGCTAAAATCGCTTTAGGCAGTTTAATCTGACTGTGATTTGAACCTGAACATTTTCTGATTCACCTACTAAACTTTATTTTCTTTTACAGCTGTGAGAAATATAAGACTTAACCTGACTTTATGTCCTTTTCAGTTTGAAGTGTGGACATTATAAAACATAAGTCTCTTTATTCCTGTTTGCTTGTTCATTTTATTTCAGCTGTTTTGTACATTTCCTTATCTAGCCTTTCTTTGTCTGACTTGTAGGTCTTTGAAGAAGAGCACCACATCTTGTACTTGGACCATGGTGGAGTTATTGTGGCTATCAAAGACACTTCTATCCCTCTGAAAATACTCAAGTAATTCTACAGTCAATTAGAGTAGAGCTGTTGTGTACTCAAGACCTCAGGCAAAGTTCAGAGTTTAAGATAAGCATTTCATTGTGATCATGTATGAAACGCAGGTGGAATTCAACCTAATTTAACATTCATTGAGTCAACAAAATGCAGTTGGATGTCTAATTTGAGATTATTTTTCATGGTGCTGAAGATACCATGGCATCATGCATTAATCATAATAAAATTTTCTTGCATCAGTGTAGGCATTTTTTGCTTAAAAGACTGTTCTGGAATTCTACAATAGATGCTGTGTTCAGCATAATTGTTTATCTGCTACTGGCTGGCACCAGCAGTACCTGTCAGGGATGCTCAGCATGTGCTGCATATGTGGCTTAGGTGTGCAGTCAGGAGAGTTCATTGATACTGAAAAATCTCTGTCCTCTCTAAGGGCCATAGGGAAATTGGAGAATAGCCCTGAGTTTCTCTGAAAGAGCAATTTAATGTAGAGTTTGGGAGCCAACAGGTGAAGGACTTACTTGCACTTATGTGCTGTGTTAATTTGGTGTGCCAGAATCACAGCTCATCTGAGATTTTTGTGCACAAATTAACTGCAGTGTGCATAGATCTTCTCATAGGTGACAGTACAGCAAATGGCCTTCTCAGCCCATTTGGCAGGAAAGGTTTGTTGCAAAGCAATTTGTTATAAAATATCAAGTTTTATATTGCATGAGAGTGCAGCAAACATGGTAACCTTGTGTAATGGCACACAGAACTATAATCTTCAACATAAAAATATATCATTAAAAAAGACATTAAAAGACATAAAAAGACATCTTTATCACTTGTGAATTGGCTCATTTTTGTAGAATTGTGTTATATACATCAATAGGAACTAGGCTCTGTACCTGGTTATCTGGACTGAAAGCCATCATTAACCTACTGTCCAAAAGACCTGAAGGAAATGTACAGAAAAAAAGAGACTTTGACTTATAAGTTTTGGGATGCACATTTGAAATATGTTTTGAAATATGTTTTGCTGATTCATCAGTATATTTTGCAAATGTTTAAGTGGATGGTAGCAACCATGAAGGTCCATCCTCATACTGGTGCCTGGAATTAGTGCACCTGCCATGTTTTAGCAGTTGGCCTCTCATGTTTCACTGGCCTCTGCTTAACAGGCCTATATCTCAGAGACTACTAGAAAGAATAAAATGTGAACTAATTTGCTTTTGAATCTTCAAGGTAGCAAGATAATTTGTTGACAGAGCTCCGTTTTTAATCAACCTGAGGAATTTTATTTTTGTGGAAAATTTATTCCACCTTCTTATAAAAATATTAATCCCTGGATAAATTGCTGAGAAGAAGATCACATTAATATAATGCACTGTCTAGGCACACTCTATTTTTTGATTGAAAATCTTAAGCTTTAGTACTGAGGGGATTTTTAAAGAGCATTCTGCTTTGTATTCCAAAAGCTGTAAATGAAAGCTTTTTCTGCTTTTTTACAGGTTCAGCATAGATGAAGGCCAGACGTGGAGCACACATAATTTTACCAGCACTTCTGTCTTTGTAGATGGACTACTTAGTGAACCTGGAGATGAGACACTGGTCATGACGTAAGGTTTTGGTTCCACCTCTTTTTTCTTTTCTCTCTGTGTATGCATTTGCACAGATTTTCAGCTGTGCATGATGGTCCTTGAGTCAGTGGCTTTTGCTTCTCACAGTCACACGGACACTTACAGTAATGTCTGAACCTCCCTGGTATGTAACCTGTCTTTGAAATCATCTGACCGCAGTATTTCAGATTTTAAAGACTATGTCCAAATGAAATGTTGCAAAGTTACCACTGGGGAGAGTGGAATAATAGGACTGCTTTACAAATCTGAAAGATGCAAGGGGAAAAATAAGTATTTCCTCTGTTGGTTTTTTTGTTTTGGTTTGGTTTTTTTGGTTTTTGTTTTGTACAGATTTCTAGTCAGACATCAAAAATATTAAACATCTATTGTCTTCACAGTGTAAATAACTATAGTGTTGTCTTAGTAAACAGCACTGCAGTACTTGATGCAACCAAGCACTGTGCTATCAAATATTTGTTTTTATTCTGCATAGTGACAGACGCAGATGCTGTGAATAGAGTTAAAAATAACCAAATTCTGCAACTCAGAATTGTTTATCGTGTTTATCTGTCTATTTCCAAAGGATCAGGGACATCTGGATCTGAGCTGCACATTTTGCTCCATCTTTAGGATAAACATTAGTATTTTAGAAGTGTCTGAGGGTAAAAAACACCTGTCCAGTCAGGGAGAAAGGCACATGCTGCCTTTAGCCAGAAAGGGGAATGCACTCAGGGCAATGCACACAGGTTGTTGTTTGTGCTCCTATTACAGCAGTTTGTGTGATTCTTTATATGGAGCTCAGTGTGCTCATGACAAGCTTTTTCTCCCAGGAGTTGCAAATAGAGCTGCCTTTGACATGTACCAATAGCATTTTCCCCAGAGAAAAATAAATTAATAGCCCACTGTATAAGGGATCCTCAACAAAACAGAAATCCTACCCAATGTGCTTGAAAGCATTGTGCCAAGCTCATAGCTCTGCACAGAGGTGGGATTTGGTCTGTTGGTTGTTTTTCTCTTTCTTCACTGCCCCATTTATCCTCCATTATGCATCTATAACCTGACAAGAACAGTATTATCCCATCCTCTTCTCTCAAATACAGGTTTATTTATCATATATGCCACATGGAGACACTTATGCCTCTGAATGAGGGATTTCCATTGATTTCGGTAAAAGCAGTGGATCAAAAGCTTATCCCGAACTTTACTTACTGGCAGATAAAATTATGTGTGACTGTATGCTCTGGACTTGGGTTTTTTCCCTTATTAAGTATCATTAAAAACAGTGATTCTGTGAAGATGTACTTAAATATCTGAATGGGAGAAAGAGCTCTTGTAAAACCTGATGCCTTTCTAAAATCATCTATCTAAAATACGTAGAGCTGCAGCTAGATTTAGTACAGGAGCCCAAATTGACAACAAAAGCATCACATGACTTGTATATATCCAAAGGCACAGCAAGAGTCTGACTCTAATGTGTAATGCCAGGCTTGTAGGATCTTATTTTTAGCTAGTTTTACTGAGCATGGAGGGCATCAAACATTTAATAGCACAGACTGGCCCTGAAGACACATGCAAATTTCCTACCAGATTCTAAAGACAATGAGAAGAATAAACCTTCAGTACGTGTTTCATTGTTGCCATTGTATCAACTTCCTTGTCTCTCCCACTGCTGTTGACTGTTTTAATTTCAGGGTGATGTTGTCAGCCCAGTGGTGTTCTGTCTGACTTTATGTCAAGACCTTTTGTCATTCTGTCTGGCTTAGTTCATTTTTTCTGAAAACTTATTCTTGTACTAAGTTATTGTGTTTGACTTAATCTACAGTGATTTGTTGCTTTTGAGAAATACACATTCCCTGGAAAAAAAACCAGAAATCCACTATGCCATCTTTTAATTTTGTTAGATAGAATTTTCTTCCAAGTAAGGTGAACTTGTAAATGGCAATTGAAATAAATTATTAGTGTCTTTCACCTTGAGGAATCCCCAGACCCATTGCCAAGGACCTAGTCTGATATATTTTCCTAGAGCTGGAATTTGATTTTCTTCCTTTGGTATGGAATGTGCTTGAACAAAGACTTTGAATAAAGAGTATTATGTCAAAATCTGCATAAATTAGGAGAGATAGCATAATTCTGAAGTGGGAAGGTAATAACTGAAAACATGTGCAGCAAAATTAAGGAATAGACAGTATTTAATTTAAAGCTTCTAGAATAAAGTCACAGAAGAGTCATATAATATTTTATGTGTCCTGAAATTGACTGTTAAGGTAAAATCCTGGTTTCACTGAAGTCAGTCGGTGTGTAAGAGACTTCTCATTCAACAGCATGGGATATGGGCTGGACTTGTAAGTGTCTTGCATTTGAATTCCAGTTCCGTCCTAATTTATCCAAAATTAAAGAATTGTGAAATCACAGAATGGTTGGGTTAAGCGGGGCCTTTGAGACCATTTAGCTCCACTCCTCCTCTCATGGGCAGGGACACCTACTGAATACATTGCTCAAAGCCCCATCCAGCCTGGCTGTGAGCACTTCCAGGGATGGAGTATCCACAGCTCCTCTGGACATGGTCCAACACCTCCACATCCTTCTCATGCTGGGGACCCCAGAGCTGGATGCAGCACTATGGCTGGGGTCTCATGAGAGTTTACAGAGTGGCAGAATCCTCTCTCTTGCCCTGAAGAACACAGGGCTTTGGATGCAGCCCTGGATAAATTTGTCTTTCTGGGATGTGAGCACACGCTGCTGGCTCATGTTGAACTTCTTGTCAACCAACACACCCCTCTCCTTCTCATCAGGGCTGTCTTTAGTTAATTCTTCCACCCAGCCTGTATTTGTGCTTGGGTTTGACCCAAACCAGGTGCAGGACCTTGAATCTGGCCTCGTTGAACTTGATGAAGTTAACACAGGCCCACCTCTCAAGCCTATCAAGGTATCTCTGGAAGGCATCCCTTCCCTCCGGTGTGCCAACCACACGGCACAGTTTGGTGTCATTGGCAAACTCGCTGAGGGAGCCCTTGATCCCACTGTCCATGGCACTGACAATGTTTAAGAGCACTAATCCCAATACTGACCCCTTAGGAATGTCACTCATGATTGTTTTCCATTCCAAAATGAAGTGGTCTAGTAAGCTTTACTGAAGAAACAGAAAAATGTGAACCTAGTCTTCATTTCAGAAAGTTTTGTGTTTTCTCCAAAGCACAGAGGAAAGCCAAATGTTAACTTGTCAAAAGTTTTCATAAAACTCAGTTGTCATCTGTCAGTCAACATTAATCTAAATCATTCATTGAAATCCCCTGCAGTATTCTAGATATGTACATAAAAATGCAAGGAAAATATATTTTATTCCATTGTGCTCTGCAAAAGAACTAGTTAAGGTTTTTAGGAGTTTTAGTGGTAAAGTATTCAAAATCTTTAGGAAAATCATTCTGTTTTCAATCTGTCTAGACTTCCATTTCTAAAGAGGCCTAGTTAGGAGTTTAGAAAAGATAAGAAATAAAGTATTCATAAATTTTAAGAAACTTGATCTGTGTAAAAATCAACTTCTAAATGAGGAGCTCAAATCCAGTATTTATTGCTGAATAAATAAGTAAGTTTTGCTAAGAAATTATTTTCGTCAAATTAGTGCATGGACTAGTAGTGGTTTTTTGTTCTAAATTTGTAACACTGAAAGTCATTGCAACCCAGTGTTATACTGAACAATTTTTTATAGTTGGAAAAATTACTTGCTAATACTGGATTGAGTAATGGCCTAACTCATTGCAAAAGGAAGAAGTTTTGTGTGTCTGAAATATTGATGCTTCTCTTTAGAGGAAATAGTTAATGTAATGAAAGTTCTAAACCTGTTAAAAACACTTCTAAATCACATCTCAGTTTATGGGAGGGTTTAGCAAACCAGGTTTTTTAGATTGCAGTGTAAACCCAGTAGGCACAATAACCATACCCTTTTAAAAGGCCAATAAGAGGTTACATAAAAGAACTGCTTTTCTTTATGTCAGGTAGAATCAAAATCTTCCTTGTGGATAATTGTATTTTTTCCTGAGGGTTATTTTTTTGTATTGTCTCATAGAAAAAACAACTTTGGATGCTGCTGGGAACTTTATGACATCTCTGAACTCCTGCATACATGTTTTGCTGTCTTGAATGCCCATTGTGTTCCATTTGAGTTCCTGGGTGATCATGGAAACAGAAAGATAGTCTAATTTTAACTTACTCAAAACCAGGTGAATATTAATAGATGTTAGATATTAGGTAGATATTTTGTAACTGTTGATTCTGCTAGGAGTGTCAACCTCACCTATAAAAACCTCAATAACAGTCAACATTATGTGTCCTTTGTGGAGCTTATTGTCACACATAACAGCACACTCCTTTTCCTGTTCTCTTTGAGTATCTTACTAGGTGAAGGTACTTCTATGTGTTTTGAAGTCTTCTCTACTGACTTTCTTATATTGCAACACCTATAAAAGGTAGATAAAAGGTAGATAAAGCCTCATTATGTTGGAGAATAGCTGATTTCTGAAGGCAAATTCTAGGTTTTCTTTTCAACTAGTTAATGTCTTGAATGAGAATCATTGCTCAGTTATGAAATGGTTGTTTTGCTCTCTTCCTGAGAGGAAACATATCTGAGAGTAGATAGAGGAAATGTGGTGAAAAAAAAGCATTGTAAAACCAAACTGCTTCTTCTATTCCAATCCAATCTAGATATCAGCTAATGCAGATGTACAGATCTCTGTTTAGCAGCAAGCCTAATGCTTTTGCTGTCACATCTGTGGACACAGATGTTAGCAGAGCAAGTCAAAGCACTGCAGTGTCACCACCAACTTGTGACCTTGGAGCCAAGACCTGGTACTGCCCCAGTCTCTCCCTCTGCTCAAAAGAAGTTTAGTGGGTAAAGTTTGTTTTTTAAATTTCTTTCCTTACAGTTTCACATTATAGTCAGAAGCACAGGAACAAGGTGCTTTCAGTGTCACTTTAAAGCCCATATTTAATACATTTTTAGGACA